GCAGGCAGCGAAACCTTTGCCGAGCAAACGACAAAAGTCGGTTGCAAGCCTTTTGCGCGGGGCCTGGTGATTTATTTAGCTTGAACCCACAAGAAAGGAGGGCAATGTTGAGGACACCTGAAAAACAAATCCAAGCCAAACATCCAGTTGTCCGGTGGCATTTGCTTTGAATGGAAGCCCCGAAGGCTCCCCTTTTCCACCGGGTCGTGAGTCATGCGACTGGATGCTCACCGGGTTCGAAGCCACGGACATGCCCATGGCGTCCTTCAGGCGTAGGGAGGCCAAAGGAAGACCATCCTCTTTTCCATTTGCTTAAGAATTCTTGTTATTTTCCGAGAGGGCTTCAGCCAATGAAAGCTTTGAGAAAACCGGGATGTGGAAATCCGGATGGTGAATTACAGGAGACGGTACCGTACAACATGCGAAGCTATCTATTTGCATGCAATGCTCGGTGTTGATTTGATTCTAGCTCTACCTATGTAAGTCCATCATGTTTCTGTCATAATTGTATTTCCTCCTGCCGTTCCATTAAGGAGGCGGGTTACAAACTTGAGGGCAAGCACCGTTTTACCCCTGGCGCATGCACTGGGGCAGATATGTCCGAATGAAGTGGTGATGATTTCGAATGGTTCCCTATCCTGAGCAAGCTGAGGCGCATTGCCGGCGCTGCACTTGTTGGGTTTTGACAGTTGCCAGCTGACTTGTTCAAGCGGGTTCGCTGATCGCAGGCATTCAAGACGATCATTTGGCTTGGGCATAAGCTGTGGCTGAAAGTATGGGCGCCCACGCCACCTAAGGAGGGCACAGTTGCAGTAGGAGCTACAGGGGAGCCAACGGGAGACCACCATTCTACCATTCTGGGTTTTGCTAGTTTAAGATAAGTCCACTTGTGTTCGGCGGTGTGCAGGCCTATGTTGGAGCCCTTGGGTGCTGTTTGGGGGTGCCGCTTTTTAGTCGCAGTGGGCGCCAGGCAGCAGGAGGAGGAGTGGGGCATGCAGACCATGCGCAAGCATCGCAGCTGGGCACATTGGAACCAGCTCACCGGTGGGGGTCAAACGACGGGCCCCATCAGTTTTTGTGGGGGAAGAGCATTTTGGCGACCAACACAAAGTTTAGTTGGCTGCTGTTTCGGGACGAATTGGAGGGGTTACATTTTGCCGCAAAAACAAAGTTTGGCTGCTGTTGTTTGGGAACGGACTGGACATGAGCAGGGCTTATGAGCAACATGCAGGTTCTCAACCAGCAACTCACTCGCGCATTGGTGTAGGGTCTTGACATAGATGGTTGCCTTGGCTCTCAGCTACAGTTTGAAGTTAGCACAGGATTTCAATGAGCTCCAAGAGTTGGTTTTATGCTTTCACATGTGGGTTTATCCTGATTTGCCTTTTTCTCATGTCCCGGGAGTCAACCTCGGGCCTAGAGGGATGCCCTCAAAGGAAATCACAATGCAAAGAAGGGTTCATGCTTGGCCTCTCCACGCCCGCAATGACAGAAAGCTCGGGCTGGCGAGCCACAGCATCGCTGTTCTTGACATCATTGGGGGTTATCAAAATGATTGGCCCCCTTTTGGACCCTGGTGCCGCTTTGTGCCTTGTGCCGCCTTTTAGAGGTGTGGCGGCCGCAACCAACACCAGCTGTTGCTTGGTTGTTTTGGAACAAGGCGCCTGGGGGGGAAGGTATGGACAAGCTGAAGGCAGAGATCCTCAAGGATAAAAAGCACATCGACGAGGAGATCGCAGCTTGGGAGCGCGCTTCCGGGCATTCCCCCAAGTTCAAAGAGGAGTCCTTTGGGTGGACCCATGCAGACCCTTTGAGGACGCTTCAAAAGAGAAAAACCTAAACCTCAGGGACCGCAGGGGTGAAAGTTGTGTCCGTTTCATTTCGATGACTGCTCATGCTGTTTCACCGCTTTCTTCTGGCAACTTCTGGCCCCAGAGCATCAGCTTGGCTCAGGAAGAAGCAGAGTTAGACCACGACATCTACGACTATGAGAAGATCCGGTTGAAGAGCTTGATGCTGCGCCAGCGCACCATTCAACTTGTGCAACGCATTGACGATGCGCAGGCCCTTTGGGGCTGTTCGCAAGCACACCCTCCTTGCGAACCGCCGAGGGCGGTTCGAGTTCCACTTTGGGGAGCCATTGATGTGCGCAAAGCTAGTTGTCGCTCTTAATTGCTACGCTGGGGTATGCTTCTGCTTACTCTCCACAGCCACATTCCTGGTCAGCAAGAGGATTCCTGAATCCAGCTCAGATAAATTCTCACTCCCCGAGTGTCCATGCATCTTGGAAAACCATTCCAGTGGCCATGCCCGTGCAATACAAGCGAAACGGCTTGGACTTGTTTGGGGCCAATCCACTTAGGAAATAAGACTGGCACCAGCCGCGCAGGGCGAAGCCTTGCCGAGATTGGTGAAGAAGGCTGCGGGTGAGAAGTCATGGCCCCAGGGATGGTGCCCATGCAAAAAAACCCTGGCTAGTAAATGGGTTCCATTCTCTTGCGCGGGACAATCATGTCAAAAAGCCATTTGTAGAACACGTTGAGGGTCAACCAAGCCATGGCCGCCTTTCTTTATTGAGGGCACCCATTTAGTGTTGCTGTTTGTATTTTGGAAGGCTTCTTCAATACCGCGCGAGCCATTGGTCTGGTCAATTCTTCCTGTGTGGTGACGCTTTTGCCGAAAGAGTGGGTCTATTGTCCAAAGCGAATCGACCTTTTGACCTTTCCATCCCCCTTTTCATTGGCCCTGAATGGGTGGCCAAAGACCACTGTACGTGGGCAATGTCATCGGAAGAGCCACAAATCCAAGCCGCAAGTTGCACGGGATTTCGTGAGGTGCTCAAAATACGGATTTGCCCCTCCCAGCAACCCTGGCCACCTCAGTAAGCGTCATGCTCTAGAGTGGCCAGTGGCCGGTCCACTGCCATCCTGACTTTGTTCCAAAGGGAGAAGCTCCAAGTCTGTGGCCACCCAAAAGGCGAAGCCTTTTTCCGCTTCTTGGTTAGTAGTGAGGTTGGTTTCCTGTGAGGCCATCGCGGCTCCCGCGCTGGCCTTGAAGAAGCGGTCTCCGTACGACATGGCCTGAGCATTGCGGCTCCTTTGTGGGACTCTCGGGCCACTCGCTGGGATCTCTTTAAAGGAATGTGTTGGCACTGTTGATGGGGTCGAGTACTTTCCGGCACCAGCACGAAGTTTCTACTTGCTTTTTGGGGGAACCCAGCGATTGCCTTTTCGGGACACATTAGGTTCTTCGCCCAAGCGAGAAATTTGCTGAGAGCCAAAGACTGGCGAATCAGTTCTAGCGGCTGGCAGTGTTGACCTTGGGGGCCCCTTCGGTCGGATCTCAGCAAAAGCATCCAAGTGCCTGGCTTCCTTAGTGCTTCCTTTAACTTCCCTTCAAAAGCAAATTCAACACGGGTCCGGGTTCCCGTCGACACACACACACACACATACGGTTTATGCGGCTTTTGGGTAATGTTCGCGATTGCCCTCTCAGTCACTCAGTGCAAATCCTCTGCGAAGCAGCGGGGTTGACAGCCTTGCACGGCCCTCCTTGCGAGGTTTTTCCCGTGCCGCGCAGCTCAATTGGCCGCTAGGGCCGTCTTGTGCACTCAGCCCGAGCCATGGCCCCCTTCCTTCCATTTGCTTAAGAATATTTGTTATTTTCCGCTGATGGCTTGAAAGGGAATCTATCACTGTTGGGCATGTTTTATTTTTCCCAGGGGTCTTAACCAAATGGAAGCTTATGACGCGTTGCCCCTGGGTGCCTGTTGAATACAAGCACCCCCCTGCGACGAACTGCCATCGGCTGTGACGCTAGGCGGGCGCGGAAAATGTGCGAGACCTGGAACCCCGGGATTGAAATGATTAATAAAATACACTCCCATGGAGGGCTTTGAGCGGGAGAAGTCGCGAAGCAAAGGGGAACCCTTTACCTTTGGGGGAGGTAATTACCCAACCATGAACCCGCAAGGCTCTCGGGGTCGACACTGCCGTATTTCTTGCAGCCGCCGAACACTAAGGCCACGGGCTGAGATTTCGAGTTGACTTCTCTAGGTTTTGGATCACAGATCCAACGGGAGGTACCAATTGCAACGCCCCGCAATGCACCATGTATTTGAATTGGGAATCCCCGCTTCTCAATATATAATGTTTCCCTGATTGCTGCTTCTAAACACCTTTTTGGCCCATGTAGGCTCAGTCTCCCTTGGTGCGGGTTCTGTTTTGAAGCAAATAAATGAGTATGCGGCAAAGACGCGCAAAGTATCGGCTTTGTTTCAAATTCCTTTTGAACCAGCCAGGAATACCCGAAGAAGAAAACACAACGCGCGAGGCCAGCCCCAGGATGGTGGAGACAGGGACCGAGACAGAGACAGAGAGGCAAGATACATTGAAGACATATGATAAATACATAAAAACAAATGGTATACTAACCTGTCCCAAACCTAATCCCCAATGATTAGCGGATTACTGATTACGCGGTTTACGGATCAGAACGTTTTGGTGTAGGACACCCAACAACATTGTGGGGGAACTGTTTTTCAGCTTTTTAAGGGGCGTTTCATTCGAACAACCCGAGCGGGATATTGCTTTTGAGCAGAAGAGGGCTCGGTTGCATTGATTTTGAATAGCCCTGCTTGGGGGTTGGAATGGCAAGAAGCCGCGCAGATTACGGATTAGGAGGTTTACCAGCTAAAACGCGGATTATGTGGATTAGGCCCCGGGGATTTCGAACAGGCTAGGTGTATATATATATATATAGACTAGCTCCCCCAGTGGTGCCCTTTTACCCTTTTTTTGGGGAGGGTTCCCCTACTAAAATAGACTACGGAAAAAAAGGGCACCCTTATTCTATCCTCTCAACTGGGGGACCTAGTATAGATACGTTTAGGCATATTTCTGCTGCATGTATGTACGTATCATGCATATAATACACAAATGGGTACTAAGCAAAGACGCACCTAAGGAGCGCGGCTTCAGTACCCCAGACGTCTTCCCGAGGACTGGCTGCTGGGTGCCGCCAAGGGCGACTCCGGCCCGGTGAAGCTGCAGGAGATGGGGGCGGAGCTGCGGGACCGAGGCGAGGGGAGGGGCGACGCCCGGCTTCGTCGTTTTCTTCGGATGGAAGCCTTGTTTACACAGTTCCCGGCCGGGGCGTGTCAAGAAGTTGGCAGTTTGGCCGTTCAAAGCGTTCTTTCGCCGAACTCGTGAAGTCCAAAGACTGTTAATGACACTGTGGCCAGACGGTTTGCTGTTGACAAACATGTCCACTAGAAAACGGTTCGGATGGGGCTTTTGTGGATCCACCCCTGCAGGATAAATTAAGAGTACGTACTAAGATATGACCAAAAAAGGACCAACAGGGGGGAAGAACAAGTGAAGTCCACAAAAGCGCATCCAACCCATGCTCTAGATGTCCCTGCCGTTTGGCTACGGGATATCGTGCTTAGGCTGACTATGTTTTATCCACGGCAACACTTACCGCTTGCAAGGCTTTGAGCAACAATTCCAAACCAGAGGCTGTAGTTGTTATTTTCTGTTGTGCGTGACACGTGTCATGGATGATTCCCGTTTTGTTTGGCGCAAGGGTTGCGCAGCCAGCTCAAAGCTTCCTTGGGATCAATCGAGCTAATTGTTTGTCTGGTGTGTCCTTTTGCAGGCCAGCCGCCAGGATTGCATCGGGCGTCATTCAATCCTTGTGGCGCGAGGTGCGCTGAAAAACACCGCGCAACCGCTTTCTCATGACATGTCCAGTTCTCGCTGCGTTGGCAAGGCGGTCGAGGATGCTTGGCTGCTTGGCTTGGTCAGCCGTGTCCATATCTTCCATATTGCCAGATGCCCTCCTTTTTCTTGGCGCCCATTGCGACATCCCATTTGCTGTAACCGTGCCTTTCCTATGCAAGTTTCCCTCAGAGCAAACCCTTCCTTAGTTCGTGCCAGGTATTTGTTAGAGGGAAGTTGTGCCTCATGGTCTGCATTCTTGGCAACTTCTTCTCTTTGCGTTTTCGCGATGTGGGAACTGGTCACACTCTCCTGACAATGTTGCGCAAAGAAGATTATTGGGTTTGGCAAACCTGTCGCAGATCTAAGCTGCCTTTTTGTGGTTGGTCTACCGCAGGTTTTTTGATGCAAGGTCGGAATTTGACTGTTTATGTTTTGTTCCCGCACGATGACGCAATGAGGGGACCTTTTGTTTGATCTTTCTGTTGTGCATTCAGGATTGGTTTTGAGTCATTGCAAAGCATCGCCCAAAGCATCGCCCGAATTTAAGCTGCTGTTTTTTTGCGCTTGAAAGCCTTCGTCAAGCCGTGGTGCCGGCCTGAAGCTCCGAGGTGCTGGTTTCGCAGATTGCTGGACGCTCGGCTTCAAGGCGGCTATGGGTGTTTGGTTGGGTCTAGCTGCCAGGCTTCGAAGGCTTGCTGTGAAGGCTTGGCACTCGAAGGGAGATTCTTGCATCGTGGTCAACTCAAAGAGCCATTTTTCATTTTTTTCGGGGCCTTTGGTCCTGAAATGATGTCATGGGGCCCATGTGTTCCATTTTTTCGGGGCCTTTAACTTCCTGAAATGATTGTCATGGGGCTGCAAAAGGTCTCAACCAAGCCCAAGCCGAGGAAGGACCGCAGTGTTTGGTGTGGGTTCCGGCATTGCCCAGAGGGACCAAAGTAGTGTATTGAGCCAAAGGCAAAGTTCGCCCACGCGCGGAGCCATTCGCGCCGTTGAGGGGCCTTGCCTCTCAACGCAAGCTTAATTTTTGCGGCATTTCTTTTACGCTCTGGAGCCAAGCCGGTCCAAATGGGCCTGTCCCGAAACAGAGACCCTCCTGGTTGGACGTGTTCAAGGGCAGCCTCAAAATTAATTCAGGATGAATGAATTTGGTGGATTCTTTGGTTTTTGTCCAAAAGCGAGGGGTTCGGATTCCTTCTTGGAACGGGGACCCCCTAAAGGGGGTAGGACCTTGGGCTAGGATAAATGAACCAGCGTTTTCATTCCCGAGCTCCCAGAACGACGGCTGAGGCCTGCAGAGTGCCAAGGAGGTCCAGCAGCTCCTGCGCAGCTCTGGTGGTATTCGGTACGGAAGACCAGAGAAATGGCGGTTGTCAAAAACCGTAAACGGGATCCCATTTTGGTTGGGATTGCTGAATTCCCCATGTATTTTAGAACCTATTTTAGCGGGAATGGGGATGTTCACGGGTGCGATTTGGATTTTGAGAATCATGGCCAAATAGCCCTAGCGGAGGAAACTCGCGCAGAGAAGGGGCCAGAGGAGAATCAGAAACCGACGTGGGTGGGAAGGAAGGACGCATCACAATTAGATGACGCAAGGGCGCCAAGTTTCTGGCCCAGGCATGCTGCGTGGGCTGCGGCGGCGCTTGATCGAGCACGGACTCGAAGGCACAGCTGCACCGCAACATTTCAGAACCTCATTTCCTGAGTTCCTGGACTTTAGTCACTTTTTGGGTAGACCACTTGAGTGGGAAACAAACAGTTTGGACTTTTTTGGAGCCATCCACTCAGGAAGTGAGGAAACCATCCATGTTTTTGTTTGTTTCTTTTCCAAGCTACGAAGTCTTTGTCCAGACAAGCTCCGGAGTGGTCCGGAGCGGCTGTAAGGCAAGGTTCCGGAGGGTTCCGGAAGGTCTTGATGCGGCGGGTTCCACGGGGGGGTTGCTGGTGGCTACTGTCGGGGATGCTGCCCGAGTCTTGCTTTTTGTTTTTGGATCCTCAAAGTTGTGAAGTACTCCTTTGGTGGTGTGTTTGTGAGCCCATGAAATCTGGCTTGGGAACAACCAGGACAAATTGATGGCCCGGGGAGGGGGGGGTTCTCTGGAGGGGCAAAAAAACAGCCAGCTGGATTCTTGATGCTGGAAATGCTTCTTGGGGAAACGTGATGTTGCAATCTTGCCACTGTAATTGACGCCTAGGAAGCGTAATGCCGCACAAACAAAAATGGTACCCAAACACACGCTCACATCAAATTCACTAAGTCCAGGTAGCACTGAAGCTGACGCTACTTTGCCGGCAACTGGCATGCGTGGGTATCGAGGGTCTCGCAAGGTTGGGCGGTCCGATCCTCGGTGGCCGAGCTGCATGTGGAGGGCAATTTGTTGCGGCTTTGGGCTGGGCTGGCCCTGAGGATAGCTACTGAAAGGGAACTGGGTTCTTAAAGCGACCAGTTTAAGGGGCCCGCGTGTTGCAGCTTTGGGGCGCGTTTTCCCTTAGTGAAAGGGCAATGTCGAGGAGGTCACTACGGACCCGGGCTGAACTTGAAAGTCGTGAATTTGTCCTTCCCAAGCGAGATTGGTGCCAGACCTACTTAGCGCCGAAATAGGACATCCAGTTTAAATGTCTAAGGGTTTTTGTATCCCACCCTGGGAATAGGCACCCACTGGGTATTGACCCCATTTCTTCACATTTCCGGATGAAACCCTGTTATTTTGGAACCATTCTGGATCATTTCCCAAGGGTGTAATCCCAGGGTGGAATACCAACAACCCTCAGAAAACCCCACCCCTTGCATTCGCAATGCGCTGCCTGTGCAGCTGGGAGCGAACTAAGGCGGTCAACGAGATGGCTCCTCGGATTAGCTCCAGCGGTTCGTTAGGCTGGGTCCCTTTTAAGTGGTTGCATGTCGCGGGGTCTTCGAATTACCGGAGAAAAACAAAAAAACTCTGTTGGGGTGGCCTGCCTTGAAACCACAATGTAGAGGGAATTTGTGTGGATGTCACTTTGGTGGACCCAGGCACAGACATTCAAGCGAGTCTGGGCCGTGTCCACCTTATGGGGTGATTTGGAGTGGCTCTTGCTTGGTTGGTGGATAGTCACTTTGAGTCTGGTCTTTTGACCACACGGCAAAATTCTCCCAGAACACCTCGAAGCCACTGGGCCCGAAAATTGGCCGGACAGCTGAGGACACCTTTCTGAGAAAGATGTCCCTGGTGCTGGAAGAGGGCGGCCAAGGCCAGCAAAAGACATGCCACGGCCTGGTATAGGTTCCTGAAAGAAGCCCTCTTGAATAGGTAGGTGATGGTAGGTGTGCTGGTTTTTGGTGAACAAAAACCATCCACAGGGCCTGGTTTTTTGCTGAACAACAACCATCCACAGGGCATTGCCTTTGTCCAGATCCCACATGGAGCCTGCGCTCGCCTCAAGGTGGCTATGCTTTGGTCGTCTCGAAGGCTGGCTTCGGCCAGCAGGGCAAGATGGCCATGGCACCCTAGCTTTCAATCGGAGTGATGTGGCGATGTTCCAAATTCAGGAGGGAAGATTACGTTGCTTTTCTCACGAGCAAGCGCATGTTAGGCAAGCTAGGCTGCCAGTCAGCCAGAAACTCATCAACGACAACAAGGCGCTGTTTCCAGGGCCTTCCGGCAGACAAGCCGAAGTCACAACACCGAGATCCAAGACGAAGCAGCATACAAGCTTGCAGCGACATTTCCCAAGGTCCCAACGAGTTACCCATCGTTTCCCCAGGTAGGCACTCCTGAAACCTAGCAGCGCAATGCACGTGCATAAAGTATAGATGTACAACAATCTATATCAGGGGAAAACTGGGAGCACGCAGTCCATACCATAGACACTTTGCATCGGTACGACGTGCAACCCACGAATGACACATCACATTCGACTGGGCGGGGGGGGGGGGTGGATACCGATGGCACCACGTGCGAGGTTAGCCTCAGTGGCCGGGTGGCCTTTCAACAAGCAGCTGCTTGGCTAGAGGGCTGGCTGAGTCAAACCGCCAGCCCTAAAGTGAACCCGTTTTGGTTGGTACTTGCAGGGAGCCTGATGTGTATTGGTTTGACGGTTTACCCCTCACACACGTCGAGGCAACATTTGACAGTTAGATTTTGCTTGCTTGAGCCTCAGATGGTCAGGCCCTTTTTTGCTATGCATTCGTTTCCTATTCGGGAGGGCATTCTCTTTATGCCACTCATGCACCGCGTAGGCAATTGTTGTGCGGAAAAGGATCGCGTTGGCAGTCCGCCTAGGCCATAGGCTGTTCAATAAAATCCAGCGTAGGCAGGTTCGCGTAGGCAGGTTCGCGTAGGCATGGTTTGCTCTACACCAACTTAGTAGTAGTGCCGAGAAAAGTGTTCATGGGCAAATCGAGTAGGCGCTTGTCGCGGAGTAGGCTCGCGCAGGCGTCCTTCCATGGTTTTACGCCCCTTTCCGACAAAGCAAGTTCTGCTCACATGGGAACAATTCAAGGCATCCCGAGCCAAGATCCTGAGCTTTTCCAAGGCTTTGCACCCACACTTTGGACCAATCCACACACACACGACACTTGGGTGTGCGCCGGCGTGCGAGGTGTAGGCGTTTGGCCCTTGCTTGACTATTCAAGTCAGGCTTCCGGCTGCCGCTCTGTGCTCCTCGCAAGCGGGACCTTGGCATCTTGGAAGCGTTGGGGTAGTTCCCTTCTCTGCTGTTGATGGTTAGAAGGGTGGGCGATTGTTGGGAATCGTCCGGTAACATGTTGGTACACTTTTCTTGGCTCTTGGGTACCTCGAAGTCACTCCACATGTGTGCTTTGCTGTCGCGTCTTCACAGGAACCCGTGTTGCAATCCTTCCACGCCTTACTGCCACAGTGCACTAGTTGCAGGTGCCTCTCGTTTTGCTCAAGGACTTGTTGCCCAGTTGCATTGACCTTTGTCGTTGGTATTTCTTCCTTAGGGACGCGTCCGGAACATTACGCTGACGTCTCCTTTATGAGTCCAACCATTCTGGGGGTTCTCCCGACAGGACATGACAAGTTCCAATTTCTAGCATGTTCGTGAATTTGCCCCTGTTTGTGAGCAACCCTGACTTGAGACGCAAGTATTTGATTTCTACCAGAAATTGGATGCTCTTTCTGGGCTTGCTTTCAGGGGAGCGATTCTTTTCCAGAACCTTCCACCATTTTGCCTTCACTGTTCTTTACAAGTGTTTGTTCTTAGGTTCAGTCATGTTTTGTTTTTGTTTGCTCATGTTTCGCGGGCAGGGTGCAAACAAAACACAAAGTTTGGTCGCTACCATGCCAAGACTCGGAAGTGACACGCAGCTGGACACTCGGCCTGTTCGAGGCACCGTTCCCCCTGTTGCAGCGCGAGCTGGGCTTCGCAGACGTCCCAGGCGCGGGGATACGGGGACGCGGCGGGGCCAACACAACGAGCCTTGGATGTTTGGTTGGCTCGAGGATCCTGGGAAACCACGGCCATGGTTCACACAGTAAAAAAGTATGATTGCAGGAAGAAGGTCAGGCTTAAAAGGGATGAAAATTGCGGCTGAGAACCCCGCTGCCATCAACCAGCTAAGTGACTTTAGGTCGCTGTTTTGTATTCCGGTTCAGTTGGGGGAGTCCAACATACGCGTAAGGTAATTTTATTGCTTTGCCTTTAAAACGCACGGGGATTGATCAGCTTCTTTTCCCCCGTTGCCCAGTGGTTTTTGCCCCTTTTTTTTGCGGAAGGGTTCCCCTTTAAAGTCAACCAACCAAAATTAAAGGACCGGATAACCCCACATGCGCATTTTTTCAGTGAATGGTTCTCTGGTGGCCACGCGATAATGACTGAGTGAGTGAGCGAGTGGCCACGGGGTAGCGCTCGGTCACTAGTAGAGTGCTCTCTTCTTTTTGCTTGCGAGGCAGAGTCAGGCGCTAGATTATTCACGGCTTCCTCTTCTTCAGACAGCTGGAAGTCTAATAAGCCTGAGCTCGAGCTCTAATAAGCCTGAGCTGGAAGTCTATAAGCCTGAGTGAGAGTGAGTGAGTGTGAATGAGTGCAAGTCAGTCTGGACGAAAGTGCTGCGCCTGTCACGCAGATTGAGCCCCCGAGCCGCGCGCGACACAACATCCAGCCTCTCTAGACAGCAGCCATATGTTGCCCCTGCCACGCAAACACACACCTAGATGCAGAAAATACTGCGCCTGCCACGAAATCTATGCCCCGTCTCCAAAGTGCTGCGCCTATCACGCAGATTGAGCCCCCGAGCCGCGCGCTACAACATCCAGCCCCTTTAGACAGCTGCCATATGTTGCCCCTGCCACGCAAACACATACCCAGATGCAGAAAATATTGCGCCTGCCACGAAATCTATGCCCCGTCTCCAAAGTGCTGCGCCTGTCACGCAGATTGAGCCCCCGAGCCGCGCGCTCGACAACATCCAGTCCCTTAGACAGCTACCAAATGCTGCCCGTGCCACGCAAACACACACCTAGATGCAGAAAATACAGCGCCTGCCACGAAATTTGGAAGCCATCTCCAAAGTGCTGCGCCTGTCACGCAGATTGAGCCCCCGAGCCGCGCGCTCGACAACATCCAGTCCCTTTAGACACCTACCAAATGCTGCCCCTGCCACGCAAACACACACCCAGATGCAGAAAATACTGCGCCTGCCACGAAATCTGTGCGCCATCTCCAAAGTGCTGCGCCTGTCACGCAGATTGAGCCCCCGAGCCGCGCGCTCGACAACATCCAGTCCCTTTAGACACCTACCAAATGCTGCCCCTGCCACGCAAACACACACCCAGATGCAGAAAATACTGCGCCTGCCACGAAATCTGTGCGCCATCTCCAAAGTGCTGCGCCTGTCACGCAGATTGAGCCCCCGAGCCGCGCGCTCGAAGACATCCAGTCCCTTTAGACAGCTACCAAATGCTGCCCCTGCAACGCAAACACACACCCAGATGCAGAAAATACTGCGCCTGCCACGAAATTTGCAAGCCATCTCCAAAGTGCTGCGCCTGTCACGCAGATTGAGCCCCCGAGCCGCGCGCTGGACAACATCCAGTCCCTTTACACACCTACCAAATGCTGCGCCTGCCACGCAAACACACACCCAGATGCAGAAAATACAGCGCCTGCCACGAAATTTGCAAGCCATCTCCAAAGTGCTGCGCCTGTCACGCAGATTGAGCCCCCGAGCCGCGCGCTCGACAACATCCAGTCCCTTTAGACACCTACCAAATGCTGCCCCTGCCACGCAAACACACACCCAGATGCAGAAAATACTGCGCCTGACACGAAATCTGTGCGCCATCTCCAAAGGGCTGCGCCTGTCACGCAGATTGAGCCCCCGAGCCGCGCGCTCGACAACATCCTGTCCCTTTAGACAGCTGCCATATGTTGCCCCTGCAAGAGAGAGTGAGTGAGTAAGTGAGTGAGTGAGCGAGTGAGTGAGTGAGTGAGTGAGTGAGTGAGTGAGTGAGTGAGTGAGTGAGTGAGTGAGTGAGTGAGTGGGTGGGTGGGTGGGTGAGTGAGTGAGTGGGTGGGTGGGTGGGTGAGTGAGTGAGTGAGTGAGTGAGTGTGTGTGTGAGTGAGTGTGTGTGAGTGAGTGTGTGTGGGTGAGTGTGTGTGAGTGAGTGGGCGGCGGGGGCGGCGGGGCGGGCGGTGGACGGCGGGGCCGGACGGCGGATGGCGGGCGCGGAGCGGTAAAAGTAAGAACCCCACACAAAGATGTGGGGAACAAACATGATTTTTTCCCATGGTTACTGGGCATCTGAGCTTCAAGAAACCCACCTGACAGCTCACGAGAGGCGCAGAGCCCAGCGTCTTCACCACAGCCCCGGTGCTGGCGGAGATTGGCCAGACGCTGGGCGGTCCCAAAAAGGGCGAATTGGGTGCAGACCCGGCCCCGTGGCCCGGGGAAGGAGTCCTTCACAAGTCGAAGCTGGCACCAAGCCAATCTGGCTGTGGTTGTCAAAGCCAATGGGATCCCATTTTGGTTGGTAGGTGAATTAATTCACCACCCATTTTAGGCTTCCCATTTTGGTGGGGATTGAATCGGATGTTTACTGGGGGTACGAGGTTTTGACCCTTGGTCAGAGGATAGCAGCTTCAGGCAAGAAGTAAGGAGTTTGTGAGGGTTGTTTGTTGGAGGTGGACGGCAGATAGGGCAGTCCCTCGTTGACTTGTGGCATCCACTCAGCCACAAGGGTTGCAACTTTTAGAAGCTTAGGCTTAAGGTTAGTTTCCCAAAAATAAGCCGGCGAAACAGGGGTATGGGTTCTGACTCTTTCTAAGAGCCACAGAAGTGGACACTGGGCCCAGTCGTCCAATACATTTCCTGTTCATTTCCATTTGTTGGACATGCAAATGCGGCCATGATTCATTTCCTTTGGGTAATGCCACTATGTTGCAAGGGTCACGTAGGTTCGCGGAGTTGTTTCTTGTTTTTTGTTTTTCTTTTTTTCCGCACCTCTCCTCTCAGCCCACACCTTATAGCATCCGAGGACATCCATCAGCAGCCGGCTGAAGGCGCTGGCCATAGGCTCCGTGGAGGGCCAGAAGCTCCTCAGCCAAGGGGTGTGTCCCGCAAGGACCCCTGGCAAGGGCATGGCTGAAGCACCGGGACCCAGGCTTTTGTTGTGAGAAAGCGCCAAGTTGGGCATGGCTTTTCTCTACTTCTGTTGGGTTGGATCTTTAGGCTTTAACTTTTTCGATTCCCCTCATATTTCCTTTCAACCAGCAAAAAGTTAAACTTTTTGCTGGGGGATCTACAGCACCCAAGTTTTTGAGTGTGAAAACGTCCAAATGTATATCCGGTTGTTAGCGACGCGGTGTGCTGGTTTGTTTGAGCCTACCCTGGGGCCAGCATGTGCGAAACCCACGGGCAATCGGCATTTGGGTTTCTGGCGTGGGACACAATCTGGCTTGTCTAGCGGGCTTGGAAACAATCAAAGTTAACAGCTTCCAAAGGCCCCCCCCCAGCCCTCAAACACAGCTTTCCAAATTGCAAGAGTGGAGGCTGACTCTAACCATCTTTAACCCTCCGCGTGGTGAGCGTGTTGTTGCGTTTTGGGATAGGGGAAGCCAAAGAGAAAGAAAAGGGCCTCAAATTTAGGGGTTGAGTTAGCATGAAAACAGGCAATCCGTGGTCAAAGACCTGAGACTTCCCAAACCAGGCAAGTGCAGCTTTGATACAGTCACAGCCATGCGCGGAAAATTTTGGCTATCCTTGAATACCATTTACAAAATGGTCCCAACACGAGGGGGCCATGATACCCAAAGCCATCATTGATCAGAAGGTTTTGGGAAGAGTCGCGGGTCTGGATCACCCCTCCCATTTCTGTCTCAATTGAGTACCCAAAACATGGTACCAACATGAGGCGGGGGGCATGATAAACCCAAAGTCATCGTTGAATATCAGGAGATGATTAAACTACCAGGGGACCACAGGTTTTAGCCATTGTTTCCATTTACCAGGGTGCCTTTTGGGTATTTATTTGTGAGCCACAGCCATGTGCAAAAAACAACAACCCCCCAAAAAACAACACAGAACGCCATCATCGAATACCCGGAGATGCTTTGCAACTCATTCGAGGCTCAGCTCCACTCGGAGCTTCCGCGCGCAGCACGGGCCGCAGTACCTCGCGGCGCTGGGGCGAATACTTGCGACGCTGCTGCCGGTGCCTGGGAATGGACAGAGCGGCGCAGCCAAAACGGTTGTATTCCAAAAGGTTTTGTCAAAGCAAACCGCCCCATAATATGTTGGGGTTTACCAAATTCAGGATCGGCATTCGCCTGGGTTTGGGAAATGCACCCTGCTAACAATCATGCAGGCGGACCAAAGGGAGGCTTTTGCAAGACTAGCCCCTTGTCCATTTCGATGATTGGTGGAGAAAGGGTGGTTTTCTCCCAGGTCTTCCAGTAGTGCCCTTTTATTCCAGCTTTTTGGGGGGAGGGTTCCCCTAGCAAAATAGACTACAGCAAAAACATCGGGTACCCTTATTCAAAGATCTCTACTGGAGGACCTAGGGTTTTATGTTTTGGGGTAATGCGAACCCCGGATGAAGCAGAAACCCATGTTTATTAATATGGGGATGTTCCCCCCCAGAAGCGATGAGTCTCCACTACATGTAGATCAATTCACTGGTGTTTTATATTTTGGGGTAAAGCTGGCCGCCGGATGAAGCAGAATCCCATGTTTATTAATATGGGGGAGGTTTTTCCCCAGTGATGATTCCCCACTAAAACCAGGGACACGTCACCTATCAATAAACTGGGGTTGATGAATCTGGGGCCAACATTAGACTGAATGGAAACAGAATCTGCATATATTATCTTTCCGTGTTCCCTGGATGTGCGCTAGGGAATGATGGAATGCCCCCTATATACCATCCCTTGTGGTGTCATGTGGTGTCTTTTGTGTGGATCCCTAGGTTCATTCCCAAACCCTCTCACCTCAACGTTTGGGCGGGGATTTTATCGCGGTTGGTTTATGATTTTCATCCAACCTTCTCAACACGTGTTTGCCTTGCATCCATTCGTCAAGGTCCCAGGGAAAGATTCGGAAGGAACCATGCTGGGGATTCTTGGAGTGGCTCTTAGAGCCCTTTTGGGGCAAGTGATGCAAAGGCAAAGAACCGCCGCCAGCGTGAACTGGCTGCGGCGCAGTTGTAGCACCGGATCAGAGGTCCGTGCCCACAAGCGATCCACGCCGCTTCCAAATCAAACCGCAGGTGATTCGACCCATGCAGACGTCCGGATCACGGCGGGAAACGATCCATACTGGCCAACGCCAACGCGAACACAACGCGGTTGGAGTACTGTGTCTGCTTGGGCGCGTGCGTCATGTGCTGGTTGTGTGATTGCAACTGCGCGTTGGTTTGTAATTACTCCCACTTTGCCGGGGATAGCAAGCCGAAGCATTGCATGAGGTACATTCTGGGCGCAGCAGGTGTTGCCGATCTTTGGACGAAAATCCAAAAAGTTGTCTACCCTTCAGGAGTGGTCATCATGAAGGCTCGGAGGAACAAGGCTCACCAGCTGGGCCTCCTTTGGGTGTCATGTTTTGCAGGTCAGACCTTGTCTCAGGCGATGCCCAATGGGAAGCTCGTGTTCTTCCCTTCCCATGAGCAGCTGAACGACGCTGTTGCCCACTGGTCTCGCCTTTTGCCTGCAGCTCTGTCCTTGCACTTGGCGTCGTTTTGAGGGTACCGGTTCTGAGGAAAGTTAAGGTAACCAAGCAATGCGCATGGCAACATTGCTTAGGCCACTGCAATGACATGTTTGTGAGGGTACCGCTTTTGAAGCACACCAAAGGGATACCTGTGTGTGTGTGTGTGTATGTTTTTTTTAGGGGGGCGGTAGCTCCCATTTCAAGACATGCCCCTTTCCTTTTGGAGCTAATTGGGCAACCAGCTTTTGGATCAGTGTTAATGCACGCGTGCATGCAAGGAGCCCAGCTTGCACGAAGGCGTTCGAGAGGGGCACAGCGCTGCCCAATTGTATGCCCCGAATTAGTTCTGGGCACCATCGGCGTGGACTGTTGGAATACCCAAAGATGCAGCGCCTGACCGAACTTCAACCTTTGTGGCACAAGCACATTGCAGACACAACATTTGCAGAATGCTGAACAGTGTCAAGCCCACATCAAACCCACATCAATCATATGAGAAGCCAGGCCCAGAAAACTGAGAGAGCTAAGGGCATTGAAAAGAAGGTATTCGTGTTGTTGGTGGTTGTTGCTCACCTTGTGTCTGCCATGAACTGGCGTCATTTCAGAAAAAAACCCTGGTTCGCAGACTTGGGGAAACCTGTGCTTCCGCCGGCCAGTGTTGCTTTTTGTTTGGCATGCTTTGGATGCAGCCCGTTTTGAGGACATGAAGAGAGGCCCTTAAAGGAACCCTGCCCAATCCTTGATCCAAGTAAAGCCTTTCCAGCCGGTTACTCCCTGAAGATTCGCCTGGAACCCCAAAAATTCCCCGGCAAGAAGAGTCTCATTCTGAGATGTCATCTTGCGCACCTCTACAATAGCATGACGCCACGCGGAGCATGAAAGCCGTCCATTTGTAGGGTTTTCATTGGACATCCCCAACACTGGGCCCGCTTTTGAAACAAGGCCACATGTTGATGTTCATTGGAGTATTGACCAGAAGCAAACATAATACGGCAAAGGCTGACACTTCCCACAGCGGCGGAGGCTGTCCAAGGACAGACATGCCTTGTTTAGGGTTTTGGGTGTTTCAAGCTGCATCGGTTTCACATGATGTAGGTTCTCTCCAGGTTGCACGAACCCTCCAACATACCTTGTGAGCATACCCCAACCCTCCCATGATGATGGTTCCTTGCATTCGGGGTGGGGGATATGCTCAAAAGGTATGTTGGAGGGTCCTGGAGGAAACCCCGGACCCCAAATGAAAGGAATCTTCAGTTGGGGTATGCTCATAAGGTATGTTGGAGGGTTGGCTCCAAGTTTCTCATGTCCTTTTTCCCGCCTTTTTCGAGGCCTCGGCCTGCTCAGCGGGGACCGCCTTTGCGGCATCCCTGCGCTGCTGGAGACGTCCCAGACCTCGTCCGAGGCGGCGGCGCAGCTGGTGATGAGGTGCCTGGCGAAAAATCTCCCAGACTAGACTTTAGGGTTGGATCTGCAGACTTTTTTTTGGGGGGGGGGGGGGGAATCAAGGGGTGTTTCACTCCAGGCACAAAAAACTATTTTTGTGCAGAGGGGTCAACAGCAACCAAGACAGGAGTCCCGTTTTGGATTGGTGGCTTGTGGATTTGACCCTTTTGTAGAGTTGTTAATACCTCCTTAACCACCAAACTTAACCACCAAATGGAGGGAAGCTGACTAAATGTCCCCTGTTTCGGTTTTAACCTTTTCGGCCCATTAACGTGAGCTTGTTTTTGGCGGGGTGATGTTTTAGGGGGGAAATGTAGGGAACCGTGGGCCGCCAGCAGTGGATAAGGAAAGAGGAAGAATGAGCAATTATCACCAACACCGTTTGCAATCGTGGTGACTGTGAGTTGGGCATATTATGTAATTCAGGCAGCTATAATGAGAAGCTCGATTAACCTGGAGCCTGCAAATGATTCGAGCTGATACCAGACAGCTGCATCGCCCCAAAGAGGCACCCTGTTTGTTTTCCTATTGGTGGCAAACACCCGTTTGAGTGTTTTTTTGCGGGTAGCCGTTTGGGGTTCAAGGGAGCCCCCGAGCGAAAATCACACAGTTATGACTTTCCTCTCATACGCGACAGTCTCATACATGTTTACATGCGCAAAACCCGGGGTTGAGCGACTAAGGTACCGGCAGCAGGCAGCCAGGCCGGCAAACCGCTGTCGATTCGCTTCAGTTTGTGTTTGTGTTTATCAACTTGACGATTTTGGATATGGCACTTCCTGCAAAGAGGGACGAGACATGACGATGGTAACCACCGACTCAAATCATGTTTGCACATTTGCTGTTGGTCCCTCGCATTTTTTGCGGCGATCCCACTGGGGTCATTACTTGGACTCTTTCTGGTGGTTATCAAAGTCAGAGCATGGTGTTGTTTCCCTAACACCTACCACTTGAGGGCTGACTTTGATGATGGTAAAATACTGGGCCCAGTCCCAATAACAGGCACGCCCAAATCCTACATGTCGGGCTGTCCTGGGTCGCCTGGCCGAGCTGCCAAGATTCACCATACTGCATAAAACTTCTTCACACGGCGATGGCATGTTTCTACAGATGCTTCACGAACATTATCCTTTCAGCTTCCTAAGGGCCAAACATGGTTCTCAGAACCCTTCGGGGAGCCCTCATAAGGTTCTAAGAACGGTTGAGTTGGGGCGGGGGGGGGGGCTAGATTCTTCCCTTCAATGCCCCAAAACAGCAGAGGTCCTTTGTTGTTCCCTTTGACCCGACCCCCCCCAAAAACCAAACCGAGCCTCGGAGGGCAGGGGGGTCTTTTTGCCACCTTTTGTGGAAAGTGGTGCGCCTTTCTCGCACTGAAGGATTCTGTTTTTAAGGGGGTCGCCCATTTTCTCACACAAGGCGACGAAGAGACCCCCGTGTCGGAGGGGTTTTTCCGCCGCCTAGGCCGGAGGGCGCCGCCCTGCTGGCGGTGATGCGGGGCCGCTGCGCCGAAGGCGCCGACTTCAAGGATGAGGCGGCGCGCCGAGAGCAAGCCGCGTGAGCCGAGGGAGCGACGCCTGGGGGCGTTGTGGCGGGCGAAGCGGTGCTCGCACCAAGTGGCCCTTGGTCAAGGGGAACCTACGACTGGAAACTTTTTTTTGTCTGGGGACTTAAGCAAATGGAGGGAGAGAGAAACTTGCAAGTGCGATAGGTAGGGAATGAGAAATGGCACTCTTTTGTACTTCAGAGATTTTGGGAATCCAAAAGGGAATCAAAAGGGATGGACATTGCTTTATTTTTCCAGATCCCTGTTTGGCACCCATGGATCTTTTAGGGAAATTTGTCTGGAAACAAGCTGATGAGTTTTGGGAGGGAATGGTCAGAAATGGGTTTGTCTCAAACTAGGCCCCCCTACACATGGTAGGCTCCCTTTGTCGCAAGAAGCCCAAAAGCCATCCCTTCCACATGGGGCTCATCGGAGGCCCCTTTCAGAAGCGACGGCAATGTTTCCAGGACCCCCCCCCGCCCCTGTCCACAAGTGGGGTTTCATGTTCGTGGACGAGGGTTCCTTTTGACAAAGCAGGAAGATACTACGCCGAAAGAAGTCGTAGTTGATGGCAGCCGCTTGCCCGTATTGTAGACTTAAAACGTTTTGGGAAGACGATTTAGTGGCAAACAAACAGTTTGGATTTTTGTTTGGACCATCAACTCAAGAAGTGAGTATAAATCTGGAACCCCCTAATTTGCGGTTTGAATTGGTTTGGAGGCCAGGGGCAACTTACCAACTCAAACCACCAATGGAGTTGACCTGATGAAATCCTGTTCAGAAACAAGACATTTGAAACGAGACATCCCCCAGCGGTTCTGGCCATTTTGTCACAACCACACATTCTCCAATTGTTAAAAGTAACCTTCCTCCCACTGCCGCTGTGGGAGGGACCCCGGAATCCTTGTTCAGCTGCTTAATTGCTCAGGCGCAACAGGAACATTTGCAGGACAAAACACAACACGGACGCTAGTTGCGGCGAGTGAACCGGGGATGGGGCCAAATGGGTCTGTCTTTTTGAGGGTACCCATTTTGGCGGGTGTTTTAAAAAGGAAAACCAACAGGAAACCCAACCTCTTTTGGGCTCCCACAAAACAAGGCAGACCCCGATCGGCCCAGATCCATTGCCCCCGCAATCAAAGGCCGAAGCGCTCTTTGTTCTCCAGGCCTTCCTTCTCGTTGAGGTGCCTCCTTGATGGCCACCACCAAACCCCGGGCAGAGCTCTTCCATTTGCTCCAGAAAGCCATCAGAACCGCGGAAGAAAACAGCTGGTTTTCGAAAAGAACGTCAAAGAAGGGTTGGAATGAACCCCTAGCTTGGCCCAGGGCTCTTCCATGGGCTCCAAAGCCTGCAAGCCCGCAGGCTGCCCGGGGCGTGGTGGTGGTGGGCGTGCCCTTCCCCAGCCTGGAGACGGAGGTGCGCCTAAAGATGGAGTACGAGGGCCGCAGCCCGGTCAGTGCGAGGGGCTGCCTGTGCTTCCGCCTTCTCGGGGGTTCAAGCCATGAAAAACACGGGGGGGGGTGCACAACACAACCACCATTTGGCCAGGGTTTAGTTGCCACCATGACAACCCTGAGGGTTCATATCACCACCAGTTGACTAAGGATCGTCATCATCCAAGTTGCCTTCCCAAAAGGGAGGACGCCAAGTTATGTTTGAAGCTGTTAAGTTCAGCTTCAGCCATTCCAAAAACCCGAATGTTCAACCCCCCTCAAAAGAAAGGCAAGGACCTTTGTTAGACGTTGCCTGCCGGGGGCCAATTGGAAGGGTGGGGGGTCTTCTGGTGGGGTGCAAGGGGAAATCTCGGGAACCCCGTGCAAGGCCGGTCCAGCCCCAAAGGTGTTATTTTTTAAACCTCATGGCATACGGCCCGCTAAACCAGGTTGGGGGTCCAGAAAGCAGAGTGTCGCAAAGAGTCGCAAAGGGGACACCGCTAGGGGATCTCTTTCGCATGAATACGGTGGGATAGATGGCTACGGATGCGGGAGCAAGGGCCAGGGATGATTCAAAGGCAATCCTTAGCTCTTATGTTGGGATACGCAAGGAACAGGTCCCCTTTGTAGTGGTTTCCCTATCATGTTGACCCCATATTGATCGACCCCAGTTTATGAATAGGGTGCTTCTCCCTGGGTTTAGTGGGGAATCATCACCTTTAGAGGGAACACCGGAACACCACCGCAATAATAAGGCAGGGGTTTATGAATCTGGGGTCAACATGAAACCCTTTAACTAGAGATCCCTCATTTCATGTTCTGGGACTGTAAAATTAAGGCATCTCGCCCATCACACGAAGCCACAAGCTCCATTCGTGGAGTGGTTGGAATCAGCACCACTTTTGGTGCCAAAGACCACCCCCTAATAAACAGGTTGGTTGATAAAAATCCGGGGTCAACATTGGGATTCCCCCAAGAGCCCGAGCCCCCAACTATGAGGGCCTTGACCCCCCAAGGGCCTCAACTCATGAGGTCTCGGGCTCCGGTGGTTATGGACAAGCGGTGGGCCAAGCCTTAGGCAACGGCTCGGCCTGGTACGAGGCGGAGGCGTACCGGAACGTGTCTCAGGCGGCAGGGCGACTTCTGCGCCTTGGCTTCAACGCAACCGGTCCCCGCAGGCGTTTGGGCAGCTTTTGGTATGGGGGTTGGACCATGTGGTTTTAGGGTATACGTGGGGGGGTTAATCAATTGCCATTTGTTCTGCCCCCAAGTGAATGTGGGCACCTTTTCCCCCATTTCATGGTGAGAATTGCTTTTTGTTTGTTGCTACCCTTTTGGACTTGCCAGGGGAAAGCCACGAGGCAGCGGTTTTTCCCTGTGACCTCGCCAGTGTGAGGCGGCACCAAGCTGACTACGGCTGCCTTTTGCTACTGGATGGGCGTTTCACGGGCGAACCGCCGCAGCTTTCTGGCTGGCGGCTTCGCTTAATATGCTTGACCGAGACCACAGAGAGAGAGAGATCCCTCTGAAGTTATGTGGTTTCAGAATAAAGCAACCGTGCAAAAGTGGGAGGATTCCTCCAACCAAGCAATAATGGGTCCAATGTTCGAATTTGCCTTCTACCCGAGGCCTCACTGCCAGCACCCCAACAGCTTTGCAGACTGGAGGTAGGTTGTTGGACATGCGCCAAGGCAGTATTGGGTGCTGGTTGCTGTTACTGGTTGCTGTTTGGAGTTGTGCCTACCTTCACTTCCGTCACGCAACTTTAAATCCGGCTAGAAGTGGCTATGTTTCCAGCTGACGATGGGCTTTCCTTTTGGGCGTCCCTTGGAGCCAGCTTGAACAGAGCACCCATTCGGCCGTGCGACCCAGGCTGCGGCAAGAGCTGAAGCGCTCGCATTCCACGCGCGACGTGTCCTCGTCGCAGCTGGAAGCGGTGAAGGACCAAATCGAATCTTGGTCCAGGAGGCCCCCGAAAAGATGTGGTGCCAAGTAAATCCCCACGGGTTCGAAAATCGGGGGGAACACCCCAATGCAAATGCAATTTTCAGACTCGTCCCCCCCCTTAAAAGGGGTGTGGATACAAGCCCATATGCTTGTTGAATTGTCCAAAGGAAACGAAAGGAAGGGATCGCTGTTCATTTTTCCAGACTCTATATAAGACCAGGTGTTAGGGTCTAATCTGTTTCTTCCAGGGACACGTAGGATCAGAGAAGCAGGTATTCAGCGAGTAGTGTCCCGTGGTTTTGTTTTTGCACAAGCTGGAAAGACCGTGAAGGCTTGGCGACCTCACAAGGGGTGCTTGCGACCTCAGCCAAAATGAATGATTTTTCATGGGGGATTGGTGATAGTTCCCAGCCCGCTCCCGGTGGTTTAAAGCGTTACCTTTTTGAACCAGTTTCAAGTGCAGTTATTTTCCCCAGTAAATACAACCTTTTGTTTGTGGTGAGAACACTTGAGTGTGTCTTGGATTAAGAGAACCCCTAAGACGCGCCTCCAAAAATGACACACCCTGGCCAAATCTTGGGACTCGTGATGGTTCCTGCGCTTCAGGAGGAGCTTACACAATTCTTCCTCCGGAACGAGGCTGCCGCTGCTTGCGCGCCGGAAAAGCAGCGGGGCAAATGCGGCGCGCACGTCAAGGGTCTTGGGTCCCAGTTTGGACTTGTTTTGGTATTGGTATTTTAGTGTCGATTTAGTATTGGAAGTTGAGGTTTAAATTTTATTTTCATACTGTTTTTGTGACGTTTGTTTGGGTGCCTGTTTTTTTGGGCCTCATGCAGTCAATCTCAGTCAGTTTGCCGACTTAATTAATATTGATTGAGACTGACCAAACTGAGTTTTGTGATAGTTCTGTATTGCAGGGCTGGGGGGAGTTGGTTTTCACCAGGAAAGAAAACAAAAAAAAACACGCAGGGTGATGTCCTGCATCTTTTCTCTTTCAGGTGTGTGCTTGGCACAACTGTTCAGTATTTCCTTCCCCCGTATTCGCTATCCGACAGCATGTTTCGGGGTATGCGTGAGAACAGCAACATTTTGACTGAAAGACAAGGACATTGTGAGGGGCCTCGGCCTCTACAAGCCGGAAATGGGGCTACATTGAAGCTTACGCCTTACGCCGTCGCATTTTGGTTGGAGTCTGTGCCCATGACATACCTTTGCTCAGCTACAAAGGAGTCCAAAAGAACCAGAACTGATCAAGGAGGGAACACACCAAATCTTGTGGAGCTCTCAGCCAGCTTCTGCCTTAAGCTGGAAGGCAAGAGATGTTTCTGTGATTTTGAGGCACCCTTCCGCTGTGGTCCCAAGATGTCCGCTATCAAGTAGCCGCCCGCCCAGCCAGTCACAACCTGGTGAGGAGTCACGGGTACCACTGACAACCCCTTTGATACAATCCCCAGAGGGGGTGTCCAATCTTAGAGTCAGATGCTTCGCTTGGCAGCACCCGCCATGGGCGGGATGGTCCCCATTTGGCTCTTGCTGACCTTCTGCCGGGCGGCTGCCCGGCGGATTGACCATACCCCTCACAGGTAAAACCCCACCCTCTCAAGAGTAAACAAGATTCGGGGGAAGACAAATACATAGAAAAGCACCAATTCCCGGGCCCACGATTCACTGAAGTGGAACAGTTCTTGGTTTGGGGTGGGGTCTAGGGTGTCTGTGGGGACAATCTTGGGATGTCGGTTTTCCTCGGATGTGTCCATCTTGTTTTGGGGCCCTAGAAACCAAGAGGAGATGGACCATTCTGGGATCTTGACAAACAATGGCGCCCGGCCTCGCACCCGGCATCAGCCGCCCAAATCTCCTCCCTTGGGGTCCAGGCTCCAATTCGGAAGCAAAAAATGCCGCGCCATGGTTTTGTGACAGTCGGATATGTGTGGATTTTTTGTTTAGCCAGGGTCTTTGGAGGGCTCCCTGAGAGAAAAAGACAAAGCCCTTGGTTTTTTTTTGTTTTTTCGGTTGTGTTGAAGCCCAAAGGGCAAGCATCATTTTTGGGGTGCCCGAATTTTGGGCCATACACATGTATAACGTGGTTTAAACTTGAAATGCCATGCCCCTGAGTCCGGCTTGGGCCGCGAGAGCTGGTATGCAGGATAGCCAGCTACTTCTCCCGTTCGTTGGCACCCAAGTGGTCGCCCCAACCTGAAGATGTGTTTCTATTGAATTTGCCGGCCAAAAAAAATATGCGTGGATTGGCAGCATGCAGCCCTTCTAGAAACAAAGCCCAGTTTACACGCAGGCTTCAATGTGGCGCGGCTTGCACCCGCGCACCGACTTGAGGCTAGCTTCCCGAGCTATGAGGACGGGGCTCGCCAAGCAAGCCGCAGTTTCCGCAAGCCCAAGGGCACCTCAGATCACTCAGCCTCTGTGATAAAGTGGAGCCAGAGGGCCAGAGGGGCGCAGCTTGACTGAGTCAAAGGTAACATCCACGGGCTGAAGGCGGCCTCATGCTGACGGGGCTTGGACACGACATGCTGGTGGGTTCAATAAGCCGCAAATCGGCTTTCTGCCTATGTCAGTCGCAAGGGTTTTTGCGACCAGGACCCCCGAACTGCAGATCCGCCGTTGCCGCATCCTGGCGAGCCCTGCGCGGTTCTGACGCCCATTGTGGGGGCAAATCTGACTGGCTCCGCGGAGGCAAACAGAAAGGCCCCCCAACTCTTTGGGCAGTGGCTTTGGGAGCTCCAGAGGGCTGAACCGTTGACACAGTCCTTTAGATCAGCGGATCATGTAACCTCAGATCGGTAATTAATTTGCGGATTGCGGATTTGAACCCCTGGTTCTCGTAGACATGGACAAATGCCGGAACACCTCCGAACCACCAATCCAAGCCACCTAATAATAGGAAGATGAGTGGACAATGTTTGCACATTTGCAACAGGGAAGGGCATTAGCGTTCTGAGTGTTCTGCAGTAGAGAAATCGACCACGAACCACCAAACGAGATGCGACCTGCGGCAACGCCACAGAATGTTTTGTTCAGCATCGGCTGAGGCAAGCATTGTACGGGAGTTTTCAGCTGAGAGGGCTGCCTGCTGGCACGTCCTTGGGCATTGAGACCTTTCAGGTTCATGTCGAAAAGAGTTTCCAGAAGCGTGGTGTCATTTGGCATTGTGACTCACTGATGTAAACTACCCTCCCACAGACTAATATGGAGCCTGACAGGGGGTCTGTTAAAAAAGAACATGGTCTTCCAGGACATGGAAGGTTTCCTGCAGTTGGTTGGTTTGTTTCTTTTCTTTTTCCGCTGGTGTCCCTTTGGAAGCCTGTGCTTCGATTCGTGCTCCGCCCAGGCTATGGCAGCTCGGCAAGCATTCCGCGGGCGGAGCTTGCCTTGAGACCCTTCAAGCCAGAACCAGATCCTTGTGCCCCCCTGTTTTGGGCGGTGTCACCCCGTTTACGTTGCCCCAGGAACCGACTGGTTCTCAATCCCTGAGTGCCTGGACTTTTTCCTTTTTAGGAAGACCATCTTAGTGGTACACAACAAGTCTAAAACTTATATATATATATATACACATGTAAATATAAACCTATGTATGCACATAGAGATACGAACATATGTTGATAGGTACCCTGTTCAGCAAATGTATGCAAAATGGTATACATTTATATGTATATACAAATGTATACTATATATATATATGTTACTTGTGGCTCTATTTGGGAGAAGGAAGCCCATCAGTTCAAGGAGTATCCCCACGCTTTCCTGGGCCCTAGCCCTACCGTTCAGAACCGTTCGCACTGGAACTTTTCAGGGAACTTGGCCACAGGCTCGGCTTGGCAGCTGAAGCAAACACTCACGTCCTGAGTGGGTTGGCCAACAACTATTCTCTATGCACAACCACATATTTATTTATAAAAAAAAGCTATGAATGTGCATATGTATATGTTTCTCTTTTCAATAAGGGCTTCCAACCCCAAGACAGAATAATGTTTCTACCGCTCGGGTCGCTTGCAACTGCGTTGCTCTTTTCCATTGCTGCCCAAAGGATGGGAAGTTTTGGAGTTGGAGAGCACATCCCTTCCCCTACTTAACTTCTGGTTCCTTTTGCGATACGCTTTTTGGGACCCGTTGGTCAGGGAAGCCAAAATCCCACCCAAACCGCTGGTTGCTTCCATCGATGCCCCTGCTTGCAAATGGGGCAAGCTGAGGTCAGGTGGTACATGGACGCCTTGACCCACCGACCTGCAGAGAATGGGCGCAGGTCGTGGTGCAGCGCCTTGTCAAGGGAGCAATCAGGAAGGGGGTCTTTGGCGCAAAAGGCAACACACAGTTCTCACATGACGATGCTGGAGAGAGAGAGAGAGAGAGAGAGAGAGAGCAAGTTCTCACATCAGCACCAGAAACTGGCCTGTCCGCGTGCTGAAATGGGACTGTATTTTTGTGAGGCCTCACCAACCTGCATCAGAACAAACGCAACGCGCTTTGAGCTCTGTGCCGGCTGATGCCCACCACAAAGCTTGCCTTTGAACGCGTGTTCGAGAAGCCCCGCCTTTCGAGGGTTGCACACTTTTAGGGCATCCCATCATTTTCCAACAGCAAATGCATGTTGCGTTGGCCCATACCGCGGGACTGCCTGGAACCGGGAAAGGAAACCAAAAGAAGTCGGCCGCCCACAAGAATCAACAAGCACTGCAAAGAGGAAGTGCCTTTTCATCAGTTGGGCTACCCCCTTTAAAAGAAAGGCCCAGGTGTTTGAGCTAAAGGAAAGCCAAAGGAGCCAATACCAAAGTTCTACCGTTGGGTGAACATTGCGATATGTTACAGTCGGTTTAGTCATCCCCTTTACTTGCCCACATCTTTATACCCGGAATTGTGCCATCTACTTTCGCCTCAGTGTACCGGACACCGTTTTTTTGCACATGACTTTAAGGTTCGGATCCAGCCTGGAGGATGGGATGATTTGATCCATCTTTCCATTGCCCGGAAAATTTGCCACCCACGCCATCCACGCCCCGCCCCAACCGCGCATTGAAATCCTGGCAAACGACGATTCCTTCACTGTGTTTTCAACGTCAGCTTTTGGTCAAGGTGAGCTTCCTGTATATGCGGGATCGATCCATATTTCTGGCCCCAAAATCGGTAACTTTGTTCCTGTTCTTCGTGGTTTCCCTGGTCATCCCATGTATCACAGAGCTTTTCATCAACCCCCATATTTGTGTCTCAAAGTGTCTGGATCCCTTTTGGGATGGCCTCAGAAATCCAAGAGGAAGCACCCACCGCAGGGCCGCAGAGGTCCACAAGTTTGAGATTTTGAGGAACCCTTGCGAAGCCTCCGCTGACTAAAAAAGAAGCGCGCGCTCACGCGATTCGCCGGATGCGCCGCCAGCTTCGACGCCGCGGTGAAGGGCGTGCAGTTCGACCGCTTTGGGGCGGTCTGGTTCCGGGGTGTGGAGCTGTGCCCTGCCCGAAGCCTTTTGGGAGCCCGGAGTGGGTCACCGGGGGGGGGGGGGGGGCGGCGGCGGCGGCGTTTTTTGGATGTCCCGGAGGTTGAGAGCATGTTGCCGGTTTCCAGTGAAATTTGAAACCGCCACTTTTGCAGGTCCCAAAAAGGGAAATGGGGGAACCCTGCCGGGGCTTGCAGTGCTGAAAGGTTGCAAGTGAGAGCGGCTCGGTTTGTTTTAAGACATTTTGTTTAGTTTGTTTGGCTGGCTTCAAGAATTGAAACCAAAAGGACATCGTCCTGCATTGTTTGGTGGGCCCCCAAGTTCTGTCGGTGCCCGATGAATCAAAGGGTACCACCAATACAATAAAGTGTTTCCAAAATTATTCAGGAACCCCAAATGGAAGAGGGTACCTAAAACACAACCAAGCACAAACTGCTCTGAAAAAGTTCCGGGCGATTTCCTTACATATCCTTATGTAGAAGTGCCTAGCCGACAAATTGCCAAGGTATTGCATGGTCCCCCCCCCACATCCAAACCCAATGCCAAGCTAGCACAGGGCAAAGCCAGTGCCAAGGCAGCACAAGCAATCCTAAAGCAAGACTAAACCAATTCTAATCGGCCAGCTCAAAGGAATACTCAAACAATTCGATCCGAAGAGGATCGAAGACAAGCAACACAATACTAAGCCACTAGTGCAAACAAATACTAAGCCAGTACTAATGTAGCCCGAAGCAAGACTAAACCAAGACTAAACCAATACTAAGCCAGTACTAAACTTCGGAAAGGCCGATCCGATCCCCAAATATGTTTAACGGGTTTCTTCATTGAGTCTCCAAACCTATTTGGGGGAGGGGGGGGGGCTTTATTCTTCCAAGGAACCCAAACAATAAACAAATGTACAAACCCGAGTAAGCGTACAGTTGGAAACTAGTTTACAGTCAATGACAGGGTTTTGCGATGCCCACTTTTGGAGTGTAAAGGGAAGCCAAAAGGATAGAGGGATCCAAGTCACGTTTCAGCATGTGTTTCAAGCACAGAACCAACATGCCAGTTTGCCCTCTCCCAGCCTATTCCCTCAATGAAAGGGGGGCGGGGCGCAAATGCCTGACATTCTGGGCTCAACCCGGCATAGGCACGACCTCACCCCAAATGATGGCTTGGTTGGTGAATTATTACAATTCGCTCAGATTGTTGGAGGTGGAGTGCTTGGAGGCCGCTTCCAAGCGATCGTCGGGTTCTGATGGCTTGTTGCGAGGCTCCGCACTACCACGCCGGAGCCATCACCCAGTGGAATTCACTGGCACGTGCAGCGGGACGTCACAGAGTTTCAGCGCCTGAGCTCGGATTTGACATGGACTTTGGTCATAAGGCAGGCTCCCTTCAGAATGAAGCATCCCCCTGTTCAAAGTGGAGCTAGGGCAAGGGGATGCCTGGAATTGCAATCCCAAAAGCTGGCCTGGAACAAGCTTTACTCGAGGTTTGCACTCGAGCAGGGAGAGGGTGGCAAGATTGTGGGCGCAGAAGTGGCTGTGACAGCTGAGAATCTGGGGGAGGGTGGATTCACACATTTTGCAATGTTTAGGATTTCCACCCCCTGGCAGTTTATGGGAAGATCTTCGGAACAATGACGAGCCTGAAGTGCTCAAGTCCCATAATCGGGGCGTGTCCCTGTTCAGAGGATCCGTCACTGCTACGGGGAACATTTCGAGAACTGCCAAGTTTGTCAATCCGGGGTCAGCTGTTCTCCAGGAGAGCTGGGGGCCACCCTGGGCAAGCGCAGGATACGCCAATGATAAGCCCTTAATATTGCGGGTTCGTAGATGACAGGGCCTCTCCATAGAGTTTGTTTGCAAAGATCAAAGTAGAAGCATGGCAAGTTAGTGTTAGTTGGGGCTTGTTGAACCCTCATGCTTCCAATATGTACATATATATATATATGTATATAGCCAGATTCCCTTGATTTCCTTGTGTGGGGGGTGTCTCCTGGTGGTGCAAGCTTTCCAAACTAGCAAGTCCCATCTCCAAGCGTTTAGAGTCGGAGACCTGAGGCAGCTCTTCCTGGAGTCGGGGGAGATGATGCTGATGATACCGAACATCGTGGACGCTACATACACCGGAGCGAATCCTGGAACCAGTTTGAGTTAATTGCGCGCCTGTCAGACTCTTTGTGGGTGCCCTTGGGTGTAAGGAGAAAATGGGTGACGTCATTCTTGTGCCGTTCTTGGCTTGTTCAAATGGGAGACAGGTTTTTTTGCCTATTCCTCAGAGGCACACCGAATAGGTGGAACACGTGGGGGCATGTATACACCTATGCGGTGCCTGGAGGGATGGCCAAACATTGCTGTCTTTGGAGGCGATTTATCACACGCAGCAGTTTCCCATGCTGAGACTGGAGCAAGCTTGAACACGCCCTGAAATGTGCCCATATGCAAGCAGGGGTTGCCTTTTGTCGGGGAAATGAAGGCGGAACTCAGAGGTTCCGCAGCATTAATGCCTAGGATTATGGTGAACGTTTCGGTGGCTTTCTATTCAGGCGCAGGCAGGATGGCGTTCCTTGCGTTTGCGTGCTTCTGTTTGTTTGATTGTTGTTTATCTGTCTCTCTGTCTTTCTCTTTCTCTTTCTCTCTCTCTTACTCTCTCTGTGTCTCTGTCTCTTTGTCTGTCTGTCCTGTCTGTCTGTCTTTCTGTCTTTCTGTCTGTCTGTCTGTCTTTCTGTCTTTCTGTTTTTCTCTCTTTCCCTCTTTTTTCTTTCTCTCTTTCCCTCTGTCTCTCTGTCTCTCTGCCTCTCTGCCTCTCTGCCTCTCTGCCTCTCTCTCGCTGCCTCTCTGCCTCTCTGCCTCTCTGTCTCTCTGCCTCTCTCTGCCTTTCTCTGTTTGTCTTTCTGTCTGTCTGTTTGTCTGTCTGCCCGTTGTGTTGGTCTATTTGTTCTTCTTGTCCGCCTGTGGGTCCACGCCTCTGTTCCCCTTGCCAGGCCCAGATGTGACAGTGGTGCCACTGCAGAATGCCAGCGGCCGCACCAACCCGCTGGACGCTATTAGTTATGACGGACGGAAATCGTCCGCAGGGCTGCGAGGGGCGTGGGGCGCAGCTCGTCCTTGCCCAACTCGAGGGTCCTTCAGTCTGTGATCGTCTATCGGTTTATGTGTTGTTTGTTGAGGTGCTGTTAGAAAGGAAGAAGGAGAACACACATGGTTTGGCCCCCCGTTTTCAGACAAATTCATGTTGCCCTTGCAAGGATCATTCTTTTCAGCGCCTCATGGCCAGGTCACAATCTTCCTGTTGACACTCCTGCCATGTCATTGACACATTCAGACACGTGTGTGTGGGTGTGTGTGTGTGTGTGTGGCCTTTTGGTATTTCAATGTGCCCTGACTCGTCAAGTCGCCAAGTGCCGGACATTCTGGGCACGACAGGGACATGCTTTCCACATAATGGACATTGAGGTCTTGGGGTTCCAGAAGCTATTGTGGCAATCAGTCTTTGACTGACATTCAGGAATCAGCTCCTGCATGGCGCGCCATTGCTTCTTTCATGGCCATTCGCACAAGTGTCCCAAAACAGGAGCCATGAGCATTTTGCCCGCTCGGTTTTGGAGAGGCGGCTTTGAAGATTCTCAACTCGGTCCTGCCCTTCATTCTGAAACCGGTGCCTGAAGATTCTAGCACCACGATACCCAAGAAAATGTGGGGCCGTCCGGAGCTTTCTCGATAGAGAGCCGCTTGCTGTTTTGCATGCAGGTTTTGTGTGGTTTTGTGGTTCATTCCCGCCGCTTGCAAAAGCAGGTTTTGTGGAAAATTCCCTAAATATGGCAGGTTGGGAAGGGACACTTTCTCAGTTTTTCTTGCGTTCCTTGTGCCAGGGTTTGGCGGTGCGTAGTTTGCATGTCTGCATTCGGGCTTCCATTGTTCCGCGCTCCCAGTGCGCCAATGGACCAACAACCTACGGATAGGGAGGAATTGCGTTGTGGGGTGCATGTTTGCGCAGAAAGTTTGCTTTCGCATCGGGCTGGCATGATGGAACCATCAAACACTGAGCCTGCCTGTTGCTAATGGTTTCCTAGCAACCTCGTACGATGAACAATGTGCAAATTGTGACCTCACAAAGTGAGCTAGCCGGCCACCCTCCGAGTTTCCTGCTTCAGGCAAGCGACTTCTTTTCCTATCTCTTTGCCCCGCTTGCGGCCTTGTCATCCCTGTCAGCTCTGCCAGGAGCCAGCTCACAAGTGAACCTGGTGAAGCTTGGAACGGTCAGCCCGACGCGCATTAGGCTGGACCTCTTCGCGTCTGGACATGGCTGCGAGGACCTGGTTGCAGGTCCCAAGGCCTTTTGAGGTCCAGGAAACCACGAAAGGGTCCTGCCAATCCCAAACGGAGACTCCCAAATTGGCGGGGGGGATTTCTTTGGGTTTCCGTGTGCTCAGTAAGCCATCAACTATCAGTGATGCTTGAGACCGTTGTCAGGAATTTGAATGATTTGAGGCTCACAGCCGCATTGACGGATGAAAGGTGAGCCCAGATTGCGGTGGCTTTTGAATCTGAGGAGTTCTGGTACACCAATGTTCCGGGCACGGACGCTCCACCGGGCGTTTGTGCTGGAGGCTCCTATCGAGAAATACTGGTCTATGTGGATGGCATGCTGGCTGGCGCTTGCTTCCCGTTTCCGGTGATATATTCAGGCCAGGCTTCTGTCAGCTTCTGTACATGCATGGCCATTGCTGAGCAGGTCCTTCTTGGTGGGTTCCGCACGAATGGTCAACCTCCCTTTTTGCTGTCAGGGTCACCAGTCGCAACTGGCCAGCAGTTTTGAGGGATCCACCCTGAGGTCCTCCGCATTGGGCAGGTTTGGTTTTGGTTTGCCGCAGGCCTAGGGTCCCCCAACCCATACCTGTCGTGCGGCCGGACCCCCGGTCTCTGTTTTTTCTTTGGTGCATTTGCTTGGCTGTTAGGACTTTAACTTTTTGCCAACTAATGGGTTTTCCACTAAACCACTAAAAGTTAAACTTTTAGCTGGGGAGCAGAAAGCAACCGAGTTTTGTTGTTGTTCTTCTTTTCTGAAATCTTCCATGACGATGACTAGAACGGACTAGACCAATTGCCAGGGGTCCTGTGGTCTCGTCTCACCGGCGAGCTTTCTACCAGTCCGTTCGCAACAGGTGGAATCAACCCGCTGCTGTGGAGACCGCTGGCGGGCATCGTGTCTTTCGACATCCCGCCCTACGAGTTCGACACCTTGACTTAAACGCCGCCGATTCGAAGAGAAGCCCCAAGAGTGCACGCTGCATGCTTGTTCGCTTGGCATGCCAAGCTTGTCTCATAAAAGTGCCACAAGATCCCTCGCCTAGAAAGTGGCCCCTACTGGCAGGCTGTTCAGCCACGGGCCGCGGGGAATCGCTTCACTAAAGGGGGGAATCGCGCGGCAACTGGACAATACGCCAGTAACCCAGAAGTGATGATTTCTCACAAAAGAAGTCAAAATCAGCACCCCCCCCTCCCCCGCCGCCCCAGACGGCAACCAAATGGTTTGGTTGATGGCCTCCTTTCGAGCAATTTTGGCAACCTAGAAGGGGCTAGGTTTCGTGTTGGTTTTCCCCCGCCCCCCACCGCCGGGCGTTTGACACCCAGACATCACAGTGGCGAGCTCGACTCGACTCTGACGCCCAGGTTGCTCCTCTTTGGTGATCCAAGCGCTTCAATGGGCACGAAGGGTCTCTAGGGTGCTGTGGAACAGAGGAAATGGGCTGTCAAAGAGGGAACATCTAAGGAACCCAGCCATTTTTAGAGTGTGGCCCCCCCGTATTTCAACGCTCTAATCGTCCAAGCCAAGGATTTGACCCCGTTTGCGGGCTTACTGACGGATGGTGCCACGCACAACATCACGGTGCAAGTCTGGGGCAACAACCCAACAGGCCGAGAGAGAGAGAGAGAGAGAGAGAGAAGCCCGCGATGTGCCTCAGGGGGGTTGGAAGAGTACTGGAGAGGATTTACTTGGGCCAATAGACATGTGTTCAAATTAGTTCTGGAAATGGGGCTTCAATTTCGAGCTTCCTGTCTGAGGCATGCCACTGCTTCCAGGTGAAATTGTTTCGTCAGCCTTGTCATCGGTGTCGGGGAAAAGAAGAGAGAAAGAGAGAAAAAGAGAGAGAGAGAGAAAGAGAGAGAGAAAAAAAAGGAAAAGGAAAAGAGGGGAGGGGCGAAGAGGGAGGGAGGGAAGGGAGGGAGAGGGAGACCGGAGAGGAGAGAGGAGAGAGGGGAGAGCTAGAGAGCCGAGCAATCAGGCAAGCACACTTCCACCCATTAACGCAGAGCCTGACAGAGGCTTCCGCGCGTTAAATGCTGGTATGGCTGGCTTCTATGTCCATCCAGGACCTTTCTGGGTTCGCTTTGCGAAAATCTTTGGTGAGAACTCCCTACAGTTCCACTTTTTGGTGATATCAAGGCTTCACCTTGTTTGCCCAAAAGAGATGAGTTTCCCTCGGCAGTGATGTTTTGAGGGAAGGCATTGAGCACCCTGGCCGCAGGCAACTGGTTCTTGGACCCCGTGCTGCTCGTGGAGCATGGAGATGGTGGGATCGTTGGGGGCAAGGTCTATGGCGCAACCAAAGCGCCACATGTCACTGAGGCCTGGGGACGCTGGGTCTTGTTTTGGCCGGGGCGCCGCGGTTTTGTTTTAATTTGCCTTAGGTTTGTGCATGTATGTTGTAGTTACCTGCAGGCTAAGGCCCACCCGTCAACGCCTTCACATAGATTTGGCTTTCATGGGCTAGGTACGCCTGAAACATGGCAGGTGGACATAAATGTTCGTGTAAGTGATGCCCACCCCCAGTTGGTATGTCCGCCAGGGATCGAAATGCATACCTGGACTCCAAGTTTTTGTTTTTTAATATATATTTCAGGTCCAGGTAGCATTTCATGACTTCCTTCCCCGCTTCACAGGTGGTGATGAACCTCAGCAATGGCTCCACGGTGCAGCGCATGCAGGGTCAGCACGAATTCGAGGCCTTTCGCCGTTTTTTTTGGGGGGCAGAAACTTCCAGGTTGCATGTGTCCAGATGCCCTCATCAGGTGCGAGCTGGGAAGGCAACAAACCCCACATTTCTCCCATGACGTCATGGGGGTGTGGATCCTTCTCCGTGAAAGGGTGGTGCAAATGGGGGAGATGCGTGATCTTTGGCTCAAGAGCATTTGGGTCGGTTGAATCACCAAACTGACTTCGAGGATCCCATTGGAAAGCAAAAGCAGGTGGCAGGCGGGGTTTGGGGGCTGTCGCGAAGACTCGGCGGAGGGTGACCTGACTCCGCCACAGGCCCTTTCTTGCCCAGTGCTTGCTCCTTTGATTTTGGCTTTCTTGCTTGCCTGATGCGGATAAATACTCTAGAGAATTGGCTTGGCGAGCTTTGCGTTGCGTTGCAGAATCACTTGCATCTGCGTCTGAGGTGTGGAAATGAGCTCCATTTGCAATGAGCCACACCTCCTTGACGCATGTTTTTGCAGTGGCCACGGTTCCAAAGGGTACTCTTCTCTAAAGTTGTTTCTGTTTCATCCGAGTTTGAAGGACTTCTCACTAACCCCCTTGGTTTGTTCTACTGTAAATGACAATCTTTCGTAGTAGTTTCGCACGTGTGCTTTGAATAGCAGGCATGGCTCGCCTTGAGGGCAGCTGAGAAGAAAGAGAGAGTCTGTACCATTGACGGTTGCCAGGTCCGTTCGATTCTGACTTTGGAGGATGGGCGCGAAGTGGAATGCCGCTCGGCGTTTTGCTGGTTGTGGCTTTTCACCCGGTTTGCTATCGGCGACCAGGGCTCGAAGGCCGCCAGAGGCGATACCACTTGTTCAGTGGTACCCCCTTTTTTCTTTTGCTAGGTTACTCCCCACTGGAACGCAGAGTCAAGCCAGGCTACCCCTCAAAGAGTCGTTTTCAGAGGACACACACGTAGAAGGGTTTAAACACGTGCCTGAGAGTGCTGGCTGATGCGGTTGAATTCTGGTGTTCGGAACATCCTGTGCCAGAGAACATTCCATATGGAGCAAGGACAGGTTTGCATTTGCCTTCTAGCATTGAACGCGATTTTTTGTTTGGCCACATTCTACATACTTCTGCCAATGTGGCGAGCTGACCGATCGGAGGTCATCAAAGCGGGTCCTTACTGGGGATCCCTTCTTACAAGCTTTGCAATTCGCCAGCTTAGCCCCGCCTCCCGCTAAACAAATAAACAAGGAGTCGAGTCTTCCCGGCCTCGCCCCGTCCCCAAAACAATTCTTGAGTCCGAGAGCGATTTCCGTCTACACCTTGGCGCCCATAGGGGTCTTTTCATTTCCTGCTTTGGGTTCGGGTCTTATTAGCTGTTTGGGTGTCCACTTGAGGTTGCATTCAGTTGTTCAAGCATTATGGTGAGGCTGTGCTATTCAGATTTTTGCCGAAAGAGTGCCAATAGACAGCCAGCTTGGTTCACCCGCCTCTCAAGAAGCAAAACTTGCGGATTCTTGCTTTTTTGGGGCACCATTGCAGCAACAGCATGTTGAATCGTTGGATTCCAGCGGTGATAGATCAAAACGTGCATTTCAGAATCCTTCATTGACCCACTCCATTCACATTCAGAGGCGTGCATTTCCTGCATATCATGTGTTGCCATTAAAATTCCTCGCCTTCCATGATGTGGTTTGAGCATGACACTTCCCACCAAAAGTGATTTTGGTGGAAACCCGTTGATCAGAAAGCACGGTGGGCCGCATTCCATTTGCGCAAAGAGCCAGGTAACTTGTGGGCGGACCTGCGCGCCAACAGCAGCAACCTTGGCCTTGAGAGTGCGCAGCTCACTTTCGGCTCCTTCAGGCCGGGTGATTCCGGTCCGGGTGGGTGTCACACAAATGGGACCCACCTTTTGTGGGTTTTCAACATGAATGCAGAAGATAGTTCTTATGCTGGTGCCATGTGGCAATGAGAGGTTTCTTGGGAAGTGACGTCCTACTGCAGCTTCCAGGTGTGTCAGGAGAAGGGGGAGGGAGCAACAGACACAGCGCCCATGTTGCAGGCCCAAACCCCCCAAAAAAGCGAGACGCCCCTGAACAAGGTGCTTGCGAAACAGACCCCAAGCATAAAATAACTACATGGAGGGCGTATGTCGAACCATTGGTGGGCCCACCTTGGGGATGCAATGGGAAGCCCAGAGAGTAAGACCAAGCGTTGACTTTCCCATAAATGGGTGTGGCTCAAAATTAAACAGGAGGGGTTACGCAGGGTTTGGTCCATGTTTCCACTTACCAGGGCTCCATTTTGGTACCGAATTTTTGAGCCACAGCCAAATTGATATAGTCCCCGCATTTCAAATACAGAAGAACACTTCTTCTGCGATGTTAATTTGTTTACATCGGCCTCGCCAATTTTTTCAATGATTGGCTCTGTTTGGGGCTTTGAAGGTTTGCAGTTGTTTGTCGTAGTTTGTGCTAACATGGCATTGTGCAGTTGCCATTTTGTCCCGACCAAGCAGGCCTGACCAGGCGAACTGGGTGACCAATTTTGGGATGGGCTACCGGCAGAAAAGATCCGGAGTTGTGCCACCCCTTTTATCAGTGGCATTTTTCAGCACGTCAGTCAACCCAAGCTCAACACTTGTTACAGCGTACTTTTGAGTGGCCACTTATTTTACTTGCCATATTTGTTTGGCGACCCCTCAAAGCAAAGAAGAAGACAACGGTGGTTTTCCGGTACCGACTCCAAAGACGACACACCCATTTACCACAAAACAACCAGAGGAGACCATACATGTCCAGTAGTGATAGATTGCATCTAACGCCATCAGGAAAATAACGCATGAAGAGTGTTCAAAAGTCCGTGCTCAGCGAACATGTGGGAAAGTACTCGAACATCCATCCGGGTGAGGAGTTCTCAAGTGTCTGTCAAGGCGGCACGATTATAAAATCAACAAAGCACCATCTATGCGCTAGCTTCGCGCGAGTGTCATGCTAGCATTTTATCTTCACAGTCGCGCGGCCTATGTGTTGTCCTTGTGCGGCGAGAACATGGGACTCGCGCGTAATAGTGCCTATTTCCTGCGTCATATTGCAGTCAGACATGGCTTGGAGCTTGCAGCAGAACTTTCGAAGAAAGACAGGCTCTGTTCACTGTGCCTTTGCTGCGCTGACTTGTGCGTGATGGAGCTGCTAAGTACTCTGCGTAATCTGTGCAACCACGTGGGAGCTGCTAAGCTGCTGGTCCCAAAACTTGGTGGTCAGCTGGCGTTAGCGTGGGATAAAGGGGCGACAATGCGGCATGGTGCGGGGAGCTGGGCATCGTCGTGCGGAACCTCTGTGCCAGCGCTTTCTGGCCTTGAGTACAGTTGGTCACCACACTTCAGCTTCCTAGTAGACATGCTGCCACTGCAGGCGCATAGTTGCACCAGTTACGTTCCAGCGGCAGTGGCAGCAGTCACTTTTCGGAGAAACAAAATAGATTGGGCTGCCACGCCTGTTTGCCTTTTTGCTGTCAGGGCTGCGGCCTTGCGGCGACGCATTCGCGCTAGTGCTTTTTGCTCCCAACCTTGTTGAAGGCACAGCTTCTCACGCGATCAAGACCGTTGCTGCGTGTGCTTTCCATTTCAAGGCGGCACGCTTGGAATTATGTACTCACGGCCGTTTGAGGAACATACATTTTGACAACCTGCCACATGTTTAGCGATGTGTATGACCACGGGGAGGCCAGGAAGAGTGCAGCTTTGTTCACATGGGATCTGGGGCCCTTTTATACCCTTATAGTCGACCCTCTACAAGGCCATGTTAGCCAAACCCCAATCATTGTATCGGCCTGTAAAATCATGGGAAACCAATCCTGTGAGATGCCATGCTACACATGTTGCCTAGTCAACAAAAACAAGGTTCAACAAACCACCCATTCCCCAGCAAAGTCCGGTGGCTATGTTTCAGGTTGAGGTTTCGGCTTGTGAGCGCAATGATTGTTTGCAGGGGTGTAAGTAGTTGTGTTGCTATATGAGCATTTCGCTCTGCGCAAACATCTTCGGGCTGTCCACGAGAGGTCGCAGCACGTGAGCTTTTGCGGGGACCTCTCCACTACAGTGAAGGCGGAGTTTCCGCTGTACGTCTATGACTTCTTCGCGCAGGATGACACGAGCACCCTCGAACCGCTCGCTTTTTGTCTTTTTTGGGCCCCAGGGATCGATTCCGGCACCCAAATAACAAAGCCCCTGTTTTTTGGTTGCTTGGCCAAACCCGGGCTCATTCCTCGAAATGGAGGGAGCTCTAGTCACTCTAGGCTCTTTGGAAGTATCCGCCGGACAGATCATGTTTGCGTTGCCTGCAGCAGCGACGACTCCGCACGGGCACTTTTATTGTCTAGTCTGCGCAACAGGGAGCCCGAGAATGGGAATGTCCGGCTTGCATTGATCCACCTGTTGATCAGGGCACATTGAGCGGGACACCGATCCAGAAAAAAGCTCTGACAGGTATGCTGCTCAAAGCCTCAGTGGACTACACGCGCATGCTGAACGTATCGGTCAAAGCCCCTGGGTCTCCAGATTATGACATCCGGATGCGGAACGCCATCTCCAGCCATGCTGTCTATAACAGGCCAGCCACAGTGCGCTAGCAGGCAATGGGCCACAGGCTACGACAGCATGTACCGTGCTTTCTGGATTGTTGTTGCTTCGGCCAGGTTGTCCGAGAGAGTGAAAAGATATCTTCCAGAAGCATGTCACGAACCGCTCCCAAAGCGCTTGGCCAGGTCCATCAAGAACCACAGCCAAGTCAATGTGCAAACTTCAAGTGGGACGGATTCTCGGAATCGAGCTTGGCTTCGGAGAGTTTGGCTGTCACGCTCATTGTGCAGCTGGCCAGGCCTAGTGACTAGTGCATGAACGTAGGAATGTGGACTTCAGCACGCTAACGCAACGGATGTGTCCAAGCAGCACGTGGCCTGCCCCAGGAAACTTTTGGAATTTCCACGGGCCGTCGGACGCCCTGCTACAACAAGCTACTGTTTGCCAACGACGGTTGCTTGGCATGAAATGCGGGTGGACCACATGCCGATTTCTATCAATTGCTCACTGAAGTTGCCTTTTGGGCTGAATGATTCCTTCCCCCAAGGCTCAACCTCCCCAAGTCTCAACTCTCTGAAAAAGACGCTTCAGTTTGGAACCAGTTTTACCAGAGCCGGGCAACCAGAGGGTGTCCCACATAGGCGATATTCTCGCGGACCACAGCCGTTATGACTGCCACTGGCCCTTCGGCCTCTACGTTTGCGGGTCGGCCATTTGCCCCTCGGCCTCGGCTTGAAAAGTTCCCTTGGAGGGGACTAGCAACGCGAAGAGTTGGCGCTGTTCTCGATTTTTTTTGAGTTTTTTTTTTTTATCGGGGTTCCATTTGTAGACCATTCTTATAACACTATTACTAGTACCATTATTAGAACAGGGGGGTTCCCCCATCTCTAAGGGAGTTACTTGTAATTTACCATTCTCAGACCACTACTTATGACGGTAAACTTGAGGATATTGCTTTCATAGACACGGTCAAGTCCAGAACCCAGGACGGAGCGTGTCACTCATGTCAGAACTCCGTTGGCACGCGCGAAGTCGTTTCAGTTGCGAAGAATGTGCCCAGTTGGTTTGCCAAGAATACAGACATGCACGCACAAGATCAGAGAAGGCAACATCCGAAAGACTTGTATGTTGTCAACTGGCTTTAAGCCGTAGCCACTTGCAAGATTTAACCTTTAAGAGCTTACATTGGCAAAGTGACAAATTGTATAAAGTCGTTGGAGTTGACGTTGGGATCACAGGAACCAGCTATAAGAAAATACGTGCCGGAAGCTAGCTGACCACCAAGGAAAACCAGCAGTTTTGGCCAACCCCCTGTAGACTAGGTCCCACAGTAGTGCCCTTTTACCGTTTCTTTTTTGGGGGAGATTTGGTTTCCTACTAAAATAGACTACAGAAAAAAAAAGAAAAAACACATCGAGTTATTCTAACCTTCTTCCTGGAGGGCCTAGTAATTAGACCTCCCAGCGGGTTCGAGGGAAGATGAGGCTTTTGTGCTGGGGTTTCGACGCAGGCGGTCGCTACGGCCGGAAGAGCACCGCCGAGCTGGTGGCGAAGGCCCTCCCACGGCCGCAGCTGGGCCGAAGGTGGCGGTTCTCATTTGGCCCAGGCTCCCATCCGGGTTTTTCCCTAGACCTGGTTGATACATTGGGGCATTGGGGTGTGTCCCATGTCTGACCTTCACTTTTGAGGTTGGCATCTTGATGTAGCCAGGAGTTTATCCGGGGTCAACACAAGGTGTTCCCATGGTTGACGAGACTGGGAAGCAGCAGCCTGCACCATGGTATCCTCCTGGCTTGCCTCCGGACTCAGCTTTCGTGCCTGACTCATTATGCTGAACCATCACTCATTCTGCGACCTGACACCTGACCTGTGGAAGCCCTGACGAGCAAAGAGCGGACCTTTTCGTTGCCCAAATAAGAGGATTCTTTTAGACAACGAGGGTGCCAGCGAGTTGAACAGCTGCAAAAGGCAAAGGGCAAAGGGTCAGGTCAAAAAAATCTTGCTGCAGCATCTATCGAGTCATGTGGCTTCGATCGGTTTGCGAAAAGGGCCCCAGAGGGTTGGGGAAGCCGCCTCGCTTCCCGAACTGGTCGCCCTTGCCTCGCTTCCGGAGAGCAGAAGCAAGGAAATCCACTCTTCCCCACCCCCACAGCCCACGGATGTGTTTTCCCTTCCTTTTGAACACCCCATCCCAAAGAGGGCTCCGCATGTTCATTTGTGAGACGCAGAGATGGTGCTTGAGTTCAGGCACCTCAGGCCGCCCCGTGCTCATCTCCAGCGCCGTACCCCGCTGCTGGACCACACGTTGCGGCGGCCAGCGCGGCCGCTGCAGAACCTAAGCGCGGAAGGCCATGGGCGGGGGACGGCGGGCTGGCCGAGCGCCAGCGGGATGTGCTTGGTGAACCGGCAAACAGCCTTTCTTGGGCAAGTCTTTTTTGAGGCCCTTGCTCAGACAATGCCTGTGATGTTTTTTGGGAGCGGGGGACTGCTGGCACTTGCACCATGGGCTGCTCACTCCCATTGACTCAGCCATGGCAAGGTAAAGAAGGCATTCGGCGGACTTCCTGAGCAGTAGAAACCTATCAGAATGCAATCCCATCACATCGGCCAGGCAAGCCGCGTGTGATTTATTCCTGAGACGACATGAGCGGCGAGGCGTTTGCGGCAAGGTTCATGCCCAAGCTGTCTTGCCCCCAAACACCTGCCAGCCATCCATTTTGGGAAGTTCAGAATGTCAGCATCGTTCAAGAACCTCCAAGAGGTTGCGATCACTGCTCACCCGGTGATGGAACATCTTTGCCGAGCCAAGACAGATGCAGCCGGATTTTTGTTTGGCTCCAATTGCAACACAAAGGGGATCACGTGCCCGGCGAAAAGGCAAAGAGGTGGTTTGTTTCGCCGAGTGAGCGCCAATTCCTTGCGAGCTGCGAGGGTTTAAGATGGTTCAGGCTGTTCCGGAGGGGAACCCGGAGGCTCTCTACCGCTCTGAGCCGGATGAAAAAGCAGCCAAGCTGTGTGGGAGAAGTTGCCCAGCTGAAGCTGGATTACCCTCTAGGGAAGTGGACAGGGGCGTTCCCCAAAAGGAAAGCATTCTGTCTAAAACACATGTGTCAGCTTACATGATCGGGGTAGGTGCCCGTGTTTTGGCTTTCTATGGGGCACTGCAGTTTAATTTGCTTGGGGTTTGTTGGGTACACCGTACACCCTTGCCGAATGCTGGCTTACACGAGGGCGCGGCTTTCCCCTTGTTCGTGGCGAAGCACAAAACTGCTCCATTGCTTGCCCGCCTCCAAGTGCCAAACAGACCTGGTTGTTTCGCTCGCAAAAGGAAGCGCATGGGTTGGTTCGGCGTTTTAATCCACGCGTATGCCAGAAAACACAATGAGGATGACGTAACTCTCTGGCCATTTTCTTGAGAGGTGAAGTTTTGGCTCAAGCATCACGAAACCCCTTGGTGATGGCGAAGCTTCTCTCCGCTCTTTTCTTTCTCTCGGCGGCCAAGGCCGGTTTCTCACATGGCGTGGGCCGATATTCGTGAGCCAAGATGAGTCTTTTTTGCATGACATGCATCACTTCCGTGTTTGGCAGGGTTGAAGGTTGAATAGCGTGTGCGTTTGTGTTTTGATTACGAGTTGTTTCGCCATTTGATGTGTTTCGACGCAGCCGACACTGCATGCGCGCCGTGGTCCGTGTGGCACTATGGAGACTGATGCCCGTCATGCCCCCTCCCCCCCCCGCTAGGGAATCCACGCCAACGCCCATCTCAGGGGGATGCGCATGAGCCCGCCAGGCAAGTCTTGGCCAGTGTGAAAGCGGTGCTTGCCTGGATGATGATGAGGCTGTCCGCATGGGTGGCCTAGCAGCAAATCCAGGACTTGGCTTATTGTGGGCGGCCATTTGAAGTGCTTGAACAGATGACTTGCATCTGATAGATAGATCTCCATATGAAGTGGCTTGAACTGAGAACATTGCGTATGTTCCAAGCTCGCCTCTGCTCCCTGTCTTATCTTTTATCGGCTGGTTTCGCATTGGATTGAAATTGGTTTAGTACTATAGTATTGATTTAATATTGGTTTGGTTTTATCAATCGCATAACGGGAAGGGACTAGGAACGCTTTGAAAGGGAAGCGACATGCAACTCTCCAGTTTTTGCATGCCCCGAGTCAGACATGCAGTCCATATGGCATCGGCCAAGGCGTCGAGCTTTTGCAGCACAAAGTGGAGTTGGGTGCCTTGCCTTTGCAGAGCAGAGAGGGCGCAGAGGGCGGGGAGGGGGAGATGTTGATGCTGAGAGTGCCGCATGCTTGGCATCTTGCAGCCTTCGACCTTCAGTGGCGGTCGATGCTTGGTTTCATTGCTGGGTCGATCCAATGTGGCACTCGCAACTTTGAATGCAGCATCTCCTTCGAGCTTTCGCTTGTTCTATAGGCCAAGCTGCGGCACACATTGGCAAGCTTTTCAGTTAGGATAGCCGCGTGAAAAGCAAATGCATCGTGCGTTTGTGGCACCAACAAATCTTGACCATGTGTTCCAAGGCAAGCAACGCGTTCTTGATGCGGTCAATGCCACCAAAGACATCAAACAGCCTGCCATCATCTCAGCACCTCGGCAGACATGGAGCGACAGCAGTGCTTTGCGGGACTCACTCGCCAGAACGACCTCACGCCGCATCATAAGGGGCTGCCTCAAACTAGGAACCCTTTTCGGATTCGGTTTTAAATGACAGCTAGGGTGTGTGATGGTTACATCAGATACAGCCGCTGTTCGTGTGAGCGCAATCCCCACCCCCCCCACCCCCCCAGAGCTCGAATCCATCTTCTTTGCGTGCCGGCCCTTGTCTGATCTGGTGTGTATGCGCGGGAGCTCTTGAACATCTGCCGACGCACTGCTTGCCGGCACACGCACGCGCTTGCATACGCAGTTGCGCGCACGTGCTCCTTTATACGTGCATGTCTGAGCTGCATCCACGCGCCGGCGCCCTGCAACATGCACCCTGCCACCGCTTGTTCACGTGCATGCGCTTGCATAGGCGGTTGCGCGCGCACGCCCTTGAAGATCCGCCCTTGCACCGCCGCTTGCAGAAGTTCATGCAGGCATGCGCTTGGAAACGCAGTTGCAGCTTCATTGCACGATGTCGGTACTCATTCACTCGCTCCCCTGCCTCCCCCCTCCCCGTGTGCCCGTCCATCGGGCTGAGCGGCTTCTCATGCAAAAGCCGCGTGTATGTTGCCAGCATTCGTCCAGCCCTCTTTCAAGTAAAGGGAAACGCACGCTAAATTGGCCTCCAGTCCCTAAATTTGAGAAGCACACATCAAGGTGGCCAGGTGTGTGTAGGTAATGTGCCGGAAAAGCATCACCACATGGCACCACCCTGGAATTCATAAAAGGTTTCTTTCTGGAGGTCCCTGACTTTAGGCTGGTGAGATGCCCCCTTGGTCTTGTTTGCCCAGCCCTTCCTGCTCCCCTTGCCCCTTCGCAATCTTCTAGAACCGTTCGGGTGCCAGCTATCACTACACATGTTTCCAGCATGGACGTTTCCTGACCTGAGGGGTACGAGGCAGAAGGCTGAAAACTTCGCGTCACAGCATGTCACAACAGCCAGTGGCTCCACAAGAAGGCTAGCCCGGCAAGAGCCGCGTACTGATTGCACATAGTTTACGGCGAAGTTTACGGAGTGGGAGTAGATGAAGAGGAAAGGGCGCCCGATATCGGCTGAGTGGTTGACCTACTCTAAAACTGCGAGAGCGCAACATATTTGAGAAGCTTCCTTCCAGAAGCTTGCGCACTAAGCCAGGGTTGTCCAGCGTTTGGCTGGGGCCCCCAGTGCCTTGTGCGCATACACGAAGGCACGCACTCGCACACAGGCCAATGTACAGATGCTTCTTATATGTGTTATATGTACGTGATTGTATATATGTCTATATGTGCATGTAAGTGATCCCTTTCATTAATATATATATATACACATACAGTTCTATGCGTCTGGAGTGCAATGTGCGTGACGCTTTCAGGCTATGTACACCTTCGGTGCCCCTGCGGTAAGCAAACCTCCGATGCCTGATCTGGCGCGGGATGACAAGTGCTTCCAGGGCTTGCGCACCTACACGGACCGGCTTTGGGCTGCCTTGGTGTCGGGAATGACAACGAGTCCGGGTGTTGGGAGTGAACCCGAAGGTCCCCTGAAAAGAAACCAGCAGTTGGATGGTTTAGAGCTGTTTCCAACTCGTTCCCTGAGGTCCAGCAAGTTCGGAGTGGGTTTGGCCTGAAATAGATGCCCGCCCGCTTATGTGCCCCAACTGAATGGCTAATGGAAAGCCTCCCACCTACGGGATCGAACGAACGTGGCTTCCTGGACCATGTTCCTCTCAAAGTAACTCTTGACATCCTCTAATTCATCAAGCAAGGGTTTATTAATCTTGCTGGTGCTTAGCAGGGAATGTGGGCATGAACATGAATGAACCCAGAGATTCCCCGAAGCAACACCACAAGAATGCTTTTTAAGGCTGTCATTCCGTTTCTCATTCCCTGAGCACCAGCAAGTATTCCTGGAGTCACAAACCCCTGGTTGAATAAACCTGCTAAGGGACTCCTGGATTCACAAACCCTTTTGTGAATAACCTACATGTAGAAAGGGACTCCAGGATTCCCGGATTCACAAAGCCCTTGGTCTATATTCTAAGAGAGGCCTGGATTCAATCCTGGTTGAATATCCCTAAGGGGGCTCCCTTTGGATTTCCGGAAATGTCCGCTTTACGGCCCGCATTCGCCTGTCGGTCAGGAGAACAAACTGCCAGGAGGTGGCCGTCAGGTGGACGCAGCCTCCATGTTCGACGCCTACCCGCATCCACACATCAGCGTCTTGGCGCTGGACTGGGCCCAGGAGGGGTCCGTGGGGTGGGGTCCGTGCTACTGCCTGAGTTTGGGGACGGGTCCGAGGTGCTACTGCCTGAGTTGGGGACTCGGGCTTTAGGCACTTTTGGTTTGGACCTTTTTAGTGGGAAAATTAAAAGCTTGGGCTTGCGTCTTTTTCCAAAGAACGGCACTTTGCTAGCTCGGCCATTTAATTGATGGACTTTGGAAGTCTAGGGTGGGTCCCATATTCTTGGACTTCGCCCAAAAGGAAGCCCAAAGGGAAAGGTGCAAAGTGTTTTCTCTTCGCATTCCATCTCCAGTGCGTTTGTCGTGCGCTTGCGAACGCGACAGCGACACATTGGCTGACTTGACTCGACGGCGCTGGACTCATGGAAAGCGGCAGGGCAAGCGAGAGTGGACACTGACTGTACAAGTTGGATCCTTCGCCAAGTGCCTGTTGTTTTTCAGTCACTGTTGCTGGTTTCTGGGGCAAAGTGGATGGAGCAAAGCAGCAACTGGCGATCCATATTGCTCGACAGGTTGGGGTAAGTTCGTGGTTTGAGGGGGTAGCTAAGCTGTTGGAAGCGCAGGATGTTGAAGGGCAGCCTCAGATCAAAGACCACCAGCATAGTCCTGGGATGGCACACACCTCCAGGACTCTTACTATCAGCCCTGCCCTGGCGATGCTACCTGGCCGAAAGGAGGCGCCCGATCGCAGTTTCGAATCGGCAGCTGAGATAGCAGGACATCTTCTGGTATTCAGCAGGGAATGAGTTGACATGTCCCCTATAAACCATCCCTTATGGTTTCCTTTAAGGAAATCCTAGGTTCATTCCCGAGACTCGGATCATTCCCTGAGCACCATCCAGTTTTCTGAATGGTCTTGAGCACCACATGTGACAAAGCAGGAGCTTGCCCCCGTTTCTTCCCTCCAATTTTCGAGGTTGACAAGTTGATTCATGATTTTGTGACGAAGCATACATTGGAGGACTCTAGACCTAAAAGGACCTGAATCTATCCACGCAAAGCCACGGGTCTTCTTCATCTATAAGAAGTTTGTTTTTCTGCTCAGCAAACTCAGTTGATGTTTCCAGGCTGCATCTTTGAGTGCGTGTTTTTGAAGGCACCCGCTTTGGTTTTCAAAGGAAAGCCAACAGGAAACCAGCAATCTTTTGTTTGCTTGAGAATTTGTATGTTCCCCTTTTGGTTGTAAAATGAATTTGTCTCTGCTGGATTGTTTTGTTTTTTTGCTTTGTTTTCTCCCAGGGTGCTTAAGCAAATGTAATGGAAGCAATATAGCTGCCTATCTTCATGACGAGCTGCGCCCAATCTCCGATTCCTGCAACAGGCATGTCTTGCTGGTGCGACAGGAAGGGAACGACTGAGTCCGGGTGTTGGACGGGATTCTCTGAAGAGGAAAGCAAACTGTTTGATGGTTTTTGTTGGTTCAGTCAGGAACCCAATATGTTTGTTTTTTGTAGTCCAAAAAAATGAAGAACCGAAGCCGAAACGGATGATTCCCTTTAGACGAAACCAATATTTGGCTCAGTCCAACTGATTCCCTGGCCATGGACCCAGCCCTCGACGGTTTTGCAAACGATCCGATCCGATCCAGTGGGCTGGGCAGGTGGCGCCGCAGACTGGGGCTTGCACTCTGAGACGCACTACTCCCCGCGCTTGAAGGCCTGACATCGGGGTGGGCACTCAACTTTTAGGGCTGGACCTCTAGGCGTTTCCGAAACCCATCTGGAAGCTGATTTTGAAAACTAATTCGGGTCCTTGGAAAAAAGCCGTTAAGGTCAAGGTTGGTTCAGGCTTCTTGGATTTCTTTGGTAGTTGGATAGCTGGGGCAAAGCGGGGAATGGAGTTCCGGGTTCGGGGAATCATCCAGAAGGGAGAAGCAAGTCTTGGAGCACAGAATCCTAGCCTCAGTGAAGCTATCCAGTCTATGGCTCTGGGAGGGACATGAGAACCCTCACCGCAGACAACAGGGGACTCGCTGATTTATCCGTTTGGAAAGGAAGTTTGACCGGCCTCCCCTTTTTCCCCGCCCATCCTTTAAATCCTCGCGGCACTCACGAGGAGGTGACGCTGGACGGGGTGAAAATGGCGGAGCAGGAGCCTTTCAAGACGGCGAATGACATGGTGCCTAGTCCTTGACGCGGGGAAGCTTCCTCTTGGCAACCGTTTTTGTTGATTCTGTGTCGTACCCTGGGGTCCAACAGGCCATCAAAACCAAGGCCTTATGAGCAACCAAGGGTACTCAACAAAAACAGAGTGTCTTTGTCAATTCTGTGTCATAGGTTGGAGAAGGATGTCACACCTCTCGGGGGTCAATCGCCCAACGTTAGGCGAACAATTGCCATTTGCAGGGTGCCCACCACACCGGCAGACTGTAGGTGATCTTGGCCTACAAGAGCTACGATTCAGTGGAGAACACCATCAAGGAGCGGCTAGATGCGCAGATGATGCAGCAATTTGCGTGCGCGCACAAGCGGGCTCCGTAGTGACCCTCTTATGTCTGGAAGTGCGGAAAGCCTTCTGTTGGCTTGCGCGATTGTTGAAGGGATGATGCTCATATACATTTATAGTTTGTGTTAGTAGTATGTATATATATATATATAGATGTGTGTTTTCTTTTGGTTTGCCATTTGAAGATATCCTCCATGGTGTTCGGCTTCCAATGGTCTCAGAAGCCTGGCAGTATTCCCTGGACTTGCTGGAAGGCCATATCGGATCAAGGTGCATGGCGTTTGCGTAGGTCAGAAGGTGCCATGGGAGTGTGCCACGCCCGGACGAAGAGGGCGCCCTTGGAGGATGAAGCCGGCGACTTCGTGGGCAAGGCCCGGCAACCGATCTCAAGGCTCTTTATTTTTTTTTGGGGTGAGGGCACATAAAGAGAACTGCACTCTGTAGCCGTTTGAAAGATGCCGTGATGCCAACACAGGTCGGCACTGGCTATGAATTTCAATTGTTGTGTTCTGGAGGCAGACCATTGGATTTGTTGAATGGCAGGCAAGTGGCAAAGATCGATGCAAACCGGCCACGCCCCCCCCCCCCCAAGTCGGAACCCACTCTTAGTGGGGATTAAGCTTGCGAGCGATAAGCTTTGTAGCCACAGGCTCAGCTAGTTTGAGTGAAGGGTTGCATCCCAAACCAGGGTGATGGTCACTAGGTTGCAGGGAGCAACTAATGCTTTTCTTCCCTTCAGGGAAGCAACAAATGAAGGATTCTAATGATTCCCGCCGGCTTTCCAGGAAACCCACAGGTTTTTCAACCAAAAAGTCGGGGTTGTGTGTGTGTGTGTGTGTTTGTTGGTCGTGCTGTGGCTTGACATGCGTAGGAGCTTTTTCGCCTTCCACCCACGGATGAAGCAGTGGGTGACTCTTCCGATGTGCCCAGCATTGGTTATAACAAGCAATGCTCCCTTTGGGCTTTGGTTTTGAAAATGCCAGGCTTTCGAACCGAAACACGAGGAGTCGGGCAACGGGAAAACGTCGCAGCGGGGGAACCCGTGGGCGGCGGCGGACGTTTTCCAGGTGCAAGCGGAGCTGAGGAGGGCGGACTGGATGCATCGCCCCCAGCCACAGCCCGCGGAGCTGTGCAACTGGGGCCTGTACCTCGGGGGCCTGTCTGAGGCAGGGCTGAGAAATTGGGCCCCTTATATATTTCGCCGTTTTTAACGGGAAACCAAAGAGAAACCGATGGTTGAGGGGGCTATGGAGCCCAGCCGCAGAGGATTGCAGCAATTCGGCCAAAGCCCCGGTTTGAGGCAGATCTCCTTGTTGCTTCCAAAGACGCTGTTGGAAACAGAGCACCGAGCCGGTCAATCATGACCAAGCCCCAAGGGAAGGAAACTGGCGTGTTTTTGCTTCGGCTTCCCTTTGCTGAGCGAATCTCCTAATTTCTACCCTTGTGCCCAGGTCTTCGGAGCATCCCGCCCAACGTCACCATTTGTTTGCGCCTTCCTTTCTGATTGAAAAGGAATCATCGCCTAGGTCCTTGTCTCAGCTCAGTGGGTTCCACCCTGTGAGGATTCACTGCACATGGCTGTGGGTCAAAAATAGGTAATCCAAATGGAACCCTGGTAAATGGAAACATGGACTAAAACCTGGGGTTGTCTGGTGCTTTAATTGTGCCCCATACCCACATGTTCTCACTTTTCCCTCAGGGTGAAGGCTCCCACTTTTCCTCCTGGGGTAACCTGGGAAGGAATTGATCGCCCTGTGAGGCATCAGATGGGAAGCTGATGCAGGACCCGCATGGATACTGAGTTCGGTGCACTTACTGCTTGTTTGGTGTGAGTTTCCCTGCGGGGAAGGGGTCATGACTGACAAATATGCAGTCCGCTTATGATACCTTGAGGAGAAGCATGTGGTTTGACGGCTTTCCTGAAGGTAGCTATATCAGGTCAGGGTGCTCTCCAGATGACCACGCAGTGCAAACAAACATGTGAGGGATGTCCGTTCAGGGTGACCCCTTACATAGTGAAAAATAATGGCTGGTGCTGGTTGCAAATAACATGCCCCGTTTCAATGGCAACCAGTTGTCCAATTCTTTGTGTGCCCCGTTGCAGCTGTCATTCCTGTTCTGTTACTTGGGCTGCGCTGTTGGTCTGCTGGATGCTGCGAGTCAGGTGTTCCAGTGAACCTTTGGTGGAACCCATGCCACTTGCATTGCATGGGCCAAGAGAAAGCTGCACTACATCGAGCTCACCTGGGAACAGGCGTACGGCCAAGGTCAAATACGAGATGATCTTTGAATAATTTTGGTATCACCCTTTCATGGAACCAGAATGTGCATTTTGGTTCCACCGCCCTAAGATTTCCTGGGGTGGGCGCGAATTGCGCCAGGACCTGAACATCCGCGCCATTGTCAATACCGCCGCTCATCCAATTTCAGGCCTTTCCATCCGGGTTGCTCCAAACCTCTACAAAATATGACACACATATTAGGGTCCTTGGACATTCTGTTGGGTTCTCTTCAATTCTCTCTCTTTGGACAAGTTCAAAACACGACGTGCCGAGGTCAATAGAGCACCCCCGTTGGCCGCAGCTTCTGTTTTCCAATGGGCAAAGTACCGCGGGCTCGACTCTGGGTAAAACGTGGTCGTTGCAAAACAGATATGATTCCCAAGGCTCATGCCAATGTGCCCAGCTGGCCATGCAGCTTGTCCAGCACATGCCCCCCAGAGGTCCGGACACGACCTCTCAGACCCGGACCTGAGAAAAGCCCGGATTTGTTGATGTCATCCATGAAACCTCCAGAGATGTCCGATTTTAGTATACTCTGTCATATCTGAGGCTTCCTCCATGTGCATCTACACCCCGCGGGGCGCGCTACCGCCCTCCGACATGCGGTTGCTGCACATCGATGCGGATGACTGCCGGGCCCCCGGTCTGGCCCGAGACGCGGTTTCGACTGCATGCCTATCAAGCTCTAGCTGGCAGATAGGAATCCACTGTCGAGTCAGGAGACCTGGAAATCAGAAAAGCCAGTTTCTGGCAACCAAATATCACCTTGACAGCATTGTTTGGTTCTACTAACATTGTTAGAACTAGATCCTTGGGAAGGTCATGGAAGCAATTTGCAATTCACTCGGGAAGCAAGTAGTGAGTTGAGGAAATTCCAAGTCCTCTCAGCCACTGCCATAGCATGGTTCACGAATGGGACTTGTGTGCAAACCGGTGGTTCACGGGATGGCAGTTGCGGAGTTATCTAACCGAGGTGACTACCCGATCCTTGAGAAGCACTATCAGGAGTTCAGGGTTGTGCAACATATTGTTTGAACAGCCCAAATTGGGTTTCCCCCCTTGAAGGGGGCAACCAACAGCACTTGTTCCAGTTCAGCCACAAACCAGCCCCATTTTGCCTGAGGTTGGCCAAAGCAACTCTGCAGGAGTTCGAAGCTTTTGTCACCAAAGCCAAGGCAGACAAGTGCAAGACACTGGTGCACTGTCAAGCTGGCATGAACCGAAGTTCTGTCCTCTGTGCGGAAGCCCGGCTGAAATTTGGCAAGGCCTTGCTGTGCTCACCATGCAGTTGCTTATGGGTATTGCGTTGCCAAGGTCTTGGCGAATGTTTGCAACATGCTCTACGCTTTGGTTTCGCCCACTCCCTCTTCCTTTGTTTGCGGCTCGACAATGCCACCAGAATACTCCAAAAAGAAAACAACAACAACAACAACAACAAAAAGAGCATGGGAGTGGGCACGCAGCCCTCCCGTCAGCTTTCCTCGGGCCCGCCGGCAAGGCGTATTTGATGCACGCCGAGCGCTTTCGGCTGCTGGAAGCGATTCACCTGCTGGTTGCTGCTTGCCGCGAGAAACGGCAAGCTGTGACCTTTCGTAACAAACAAAAGAAGCTTGTTTGGGCGTGGCTATATATAGATGTATGCATATATGTACAGTTGTTTACATATACTATCATCGCTGTACTCCACGCACCTGTTTAAATAGCTTTTAGCATTGCGGTTTTCCAAGGAACTGAGCCATATACTGTATATACTCGGGTACATGTTTGTTTATGGCTTATGGTTATATGGCGGGCCCTGAAGTGGCAAGCCAATGCAGAGAGGCAAATTCCAGGCACTTGGGGGGGGGGCAAACCAATATCCATGATATTTGTTTCCCCCTTGTTGGAGTGGTTTCCCCACAAATGGACCCAATGAACCGAAAAGGAAGCACTCCAATTCTGTCTCTATCTTTGGAGTCAGGGCCGGCGGGGCCTCGTCCTGACCAACCGAAGCTTCGTGAAGCAGCTGGTGCACCTTGCGTGTGTGGAGGGGCTCCTGGACTGATCCGGACCTTTCAGCGCGGCTTTGAAGAGGCCGGTCAGAAGTCTTAGGCTTAAGGATCCGTGACCTCGCATGTGGGTATGGGTCTAAATGCAACCACCAGAGTCTTTGGTTCCCTTTTACCGGGGCAACCCATTTTGGGGTTGCCGCGTTTCTGCCATCTGGCCATGCCCATCCTAACGGGAAAATGGGCTCCTAACGGGATTCTTTTTCCACCGGCATCGCCTTTGGACTTCCTGGGCCCGAGGCTGTGCCCAAAAACTGCCAACAGCCAAGGCAGCAGCCTGGAACTTCGAAGCTGCTGTCAAATAGACTTTGGTGCATGTTCGGACTGAACCACTTTTTGCCAACTGTTTTTTTTTTCTTTTTCTTTTTTTTTTAATAAACCACTAAAAGTTAAACTTTTAGCAGGTGAGCAGAAAGCAACCGAGTAGAGGTGATCTCAAACGCAACAACGGGGAAAAAGACACAAACGAGCACATGGGTGGGGAAAAAGGCAAATGGTAAGTGCGATTAGACGGCAAGGGGACGAGGGAGAATTTGGCATGCGACATGCCTGAGTCGCAAACAAGGTGTCAGCAGGTTGGGGGTTGGACATGTTGGAATTACAGGGTCCCACTGGCTGCTCAAAGTAAGGGATGATCCCCATTCCGCTTTGAGGATACCTTTGGCTCGGATGCTTGGAAACTCGAACCCCGCCGACTCTTTCCTAAGGGATCTCTTCATCGTTCGAGTCACACACCGCCTCTCTTTTTGCTCGCAGGTGGCAGCCTACTCGCAGCACGTCGACGCGAGAACTTTTGAACTAGCGCGGGGCGTGTCCCGAAGGCTTCCAGCAGAAGCCGTTGGGATGGTGAATGTCCTTCTTTGGCTATTTTAAACATCACCTTTTTGGCCCATGAAAGGTGAGTATCCCTTGGTGGGGGTAATGTTTTAAGAGGAAATATAGGGAGCCCTGTTAGATGTTGTCTTGAACCGGTGCTTCTGGTCTGCTTGGAAGCCCTCGAGAGGGCTAGGGGCCCTTAAAGGGGCTGATCTGAAATGCACCCAGAGCCTTTCCTGGGGCCTTCTTCGGTGACCTGCTCATGTGCGCGGCTTACTCAATTCAAGTTGCAAATGCCAGTTGGCAGGTGAAAAGCGCCTGTCACCCATTGACAGGGGCTCGGAAGCAGATTCACGAGCCTTGGGGTACGCAAAGTGTTCAAGCTTGGGTGCGTTCCACCACTGCAAGGGTACTTTTATAATGTGAATGCATTGGGTCTGACGTGCAGCAAGCTGCATTTGAGCTCGACATGCAGATGCATTTGTCCCCGTCGTGGAAAACACGTCAGTCAACCCGGAGATGTTGATCAAACATGTGCCCCACCTCGCTCGACTTGCTGCCTCCAAAAGCCTGGAAGCAAGCGAGTGACGAGTGCATGTAGGCGAGGCCTGCGAATTCTTTTGACAGAAGCCACCAGTACCGTTTTGGGATGTATCACTGTCACTGGCATTAAGATAGTTTTGCGGTCGTTCCAGTGGTCATTCAAATCTAAACTGGGACCTTTGCCACCATGGTGATGGCTACCCTCATGGAGAAGCAAAGGATGCTGTATTTTCAAATTGGTGTGCTGCATGCATTACAGGTGCCTTTGAGACAATTGCGACAATTGCGTTTATCTGTGACGGTATGCAATCCAATTGGTGTTCCGTGTGTTTGGCAGGCCTTTCACTTTGGGCTTTTTTGAGGTGTGAATTCGGAAGCAGTTGCGGGTTCCAGAGGCTGACACCCTGGCTGCAAACCGCCAAGACTGTGTGCCTTTGCGCCGCATCGGAGTGTTGACGGTGCTGATCATGCACGGTGAAATGGAAGCTGCTTGCGAATCAATTCGTCACAGTGCTTTGACAGGGATCCTTACATCTTGCACTTTTGATTGATTGGCTTTAATAATAGCCTTCTTTGGTTAACTGCTTCTGATGGGATGAAGTTGAAAGAGGAGATACGGGACTGGGTTGATGGCTTTCATCAAGACGTTTGGTGGTTTGGTGTTGTTTGAACGCAGCCTAGGCGATGTTTGCACATCAGGTGGAGTTCAATTGCTTGTTTGCGCATTATGCAACAATGTGTCACAGCATCTTCGAGTTTGGCCGACCAAGAGTTAGCATAGTGCAAGCCTTGGTATGTCAGGCCGTTTGTTCGTGGCCCCAGCTACACCCCTTGGCCCTGTTGCCACAGTATCCGACTGGTCCGTGAGATCCCGTGTCTTGTGTGCGTTGGATGTTCTCAAAATCTCTGAATACACGGGTCGAAGCTTTCAGGAGCTCAAGGAGAAGCTGCCCAAGTGGCGCCTCGTGGAGCGCCGGGTCTTCGAGCGCTTTGGCGCTGTTTGGGTCGGTGGGGGCAGGGCTGACTTCCCAAGTTCCGTTTTGGACTTGAGTCACTTGTTGGGTTTGGACCAGTTGGTAAACCAAAAGTTCGGGGGCCTTTTTTGGGCCCGTCCACTCAGGAAGTGAGATAGGGAAGCTCCGGAATCCTTGGAGGACATGAATCCCAAAATGATGTCCACCAAAGGGAAGTTCACCCATCCGTCCCATTTGGGAGAGGAGAGTTTTAGATGTCTTGTTCGCAAGTTGGAAGGCGGCCAGTCACCGGATTTGTCGCCTTTAGGCTGGCTGGGGGATTCTGGGCTTTGCTTGCGGCTGTTTAGTGCAAGAGATGACTTCTTTGGACAGTCCATTGAGGATACAATTGTTTGACGCCAGGAAACATTTTGCTGCCATTTGGGCCGCTCGCATTGGTAGCCAGAATCAGAGGGGTACTGACGTGAGCCGTTGTTGTTCAAAGGCACACGTTTGTTTGTTTCAGCCGTTTAGTTTCTTGCTGTTCCTTCTGCCATGGACGCAGCACGAACCAATCCTGCTTGCCTGGTCAGTTTGAACTCGTCCGGAAACATGCATCAGCTGGGCGCACCAAAGGTGGAGCCAGGGTGCCTACGATGATGACCCCATCATGGTGGCGCAGAATGGCGCCAAGCCCAGGAAGTGGGTTGAGATTGGTGCCAGCCAATCAACCGATTGGTGCCAGCCAACCATCAATGAAAGCAAACAAGCAAGTCAACCTAACAACCAATCAACCAACCATCCAACCAGGCCAGCCAGCCAACCACCAACAGCAGCAATCAAAGCAGACAAGCCTGTCCACCTAACAACCAAGCAACCAACCATCCAACCAACAAGGCCCAACCACCAACCAACAATCAAAGCAAACAAGCATGTCCACCTAACAACCAAGCAACCTATAACCAACCAGCCAGCCAACAGACGCATTGGAGGTCGAGGGTTGGCCGGCTTGGTTGCTTTAATGCTTGATGGTTGGCCGACTGGCTGCCTGGCTAGGGCTGCCATTATAGACAAGCATCTTGGCTCCCAACGATCAATATAATATGGCCATAGCCCCCCCTCACTTTCGGTTTTTATCCAAAAAAGCTACCGCCAAAACAAACATACATAGATGTGTACATATCTATCCATCCATCTATCTATCTATATGCCCATATACTGTTTTTACATACAGCGGGTTTTTCCACCCCCGCAAACCGACACCTGGGGAGACCATATCACCGGAAGTACAGCAATGCTGGGTTCAACCCGGACCCCCTGACTTGCGCCCGTGGCAAGACGGCCTTTGTTTGGTCATGGCCCCATAAGTCGAGCAGGCGGGCATTAGAGTGTGCCTCAAACTAGGGGAGCCCCCAAAATGCGCGGTGTTGCTGGGAGCCTTTGTAAAGCAACCCCTCGAAAGATTCCGCCGCAAACCAAAGACACCAATCCAGATGCACATGTTTGGGCTTGTTTTGCGAGAACTTTTCGAGGGTTTCTCCAAGACACTTTGCTGGTGGGTTTTTTTTTATTCCAAAGCATTTGACGCCCGTTGGAAACCCCAGTGGACACCCTGGACTGCGCGCTCATCTTCACGGGCACGAACCACTTCGGGGAGCTTGGAAGCTCGGTGAAGCGCGGGCCCTCAGGAACCGAAGCCCAGTGTATTTGACCCCCCCCGCATCCGCGTGGTCCTGTTGGCGCAGGGTTGGTTTAGGGTTGGATTGGGGCTGGTTTGGGGTGGTTCCCCCCCCCTCTTTACCCTTTTCATGACCCCCTCGACCCAGAGTTTGGTGATTTGGTTGGATTTCGACCGGGCATCTCCCACTGCCCGGGCCTAACACACAGTTTATTGGCTCCGCTGCTTGCACCCTTGGGCTTACAGCCTTGGCTTGGCCTTCAAACACAGCTTGGGACCAGTCTCCTACTTCACAGACTTGGAAGTCGAACTTCGGTGCAGCATAATTACCAAGTGTTGGTGTTTCTTGAAGTAATTTGCCTCATCATATCCATCAGACATGTCGTCTTTGAATCGCTACACTGCACATGCGAGTGCGTGGCATGGCCCAGGCAACATCTCACTGGCTACTGCGGCTTTGACCAGGTGCTCCGACCGGGTTTTTCCCTTGCCCTTTGTGAGTGGCAGGAGGGTGGCCGGTTGAGTTGGCAAGTTTTGGGAAAGTTCAACAAAATCACGCCGTTTGACAGTTTTGCTCTTCAGTCAGTTGCAGCCACTCCGGCAATGACCAGCTGCGCATCCCCAGGAACCATTCAGGATGACATGCCATTGGGACTGCTGATTGCCCGAATATTGCCCGAATCCGGCGATCATGGGCACCGGGGCGGTCATTGGAAAGTAGTACATCGTACAGTTGGCAGGATATGGCCCTGGAGCTGTATGCGCTTGTTCTGAACGCCTGACGCAGCCTGTTGCATGGGACACCTTGATTATGGAGGGCAGGGAGTGCCCCTGTTACTCCACAAGCTTTTCCAAGAGAGGCTGCTGGATGGCAGTATGCTTATTTGATTCTTCATTTCAATCAGAAGACAAGACGCAGCAGTGGCATGCAGAGGCCAACTCCTTCCAGAGAGACTCATTTTTTGAGAGAGCAGGTGTTGCACAAGCTCTCTACCCGGTGCTGGTGGATGCTAGTTTGGACCAGCTTTCTTGTATTTTTGGCAACGCCTAAGCGGAACACAAGTGGCAAGCTCTACTAAGCCCATATGTGCAAAACCAGCCACGTGAAGTTTGACCAGAAATCAGCTTTGTCTCATCTTATCTCTTTGTTGTGTTTGTTGCTTGGCTAACTTCTAAGTGGTCCATCTTTGTCATGTTTGAATGATTCACTTGTTGTGTACTACATGCGGGAACTGTTTTGCTCTCGATGGGTTGGGAGTTTCGAATGGGGTAGTGATGGGTAATGTTGGCCTCATATGAATCAGCCCCAGTTTATGAATTGGTGGCTGTCCCTCAGTTCGTGGTTGAATCAGACCACTTTGGGAGTGGCCCAACCACCCCCCTACGAAAAACAAATACTGGGGTTGATTAATATGGGGTCAACATTAAGTCGAACGCACTACCCTCCCACTCTTTTCACATGGAACCTGACGTCCGGGGGGTGGATCGGACCCTTGGCTTCGGGTCGTTCGAATTCGGTTTCTTGCGCCAGATCCACGCGGGGTACCGGGACGAGGTGTGGCAGCTCTCGGACCACACAGTGTGGCCCAAGATCACGGCGAAGTTGGCCAAGTGCGCGAGCGCCCCGAAGAGAAACACGAAGATCTCGGGAATTCATTCGCTCACTTCCGGAGTTGGACTTTGAACGTTTTGGGCTTGGACCATTTTAGTGGTAAATAAACATCATCAAACTTTCTCCTGAGTCCACTCAGGAAGTGAGTTCGGCGTCGTTGTCCCATTTTTAGAGCGTCCCAAAAAAGGAGGAAGTTTGGTGCTCGGAACCCTTAACATGGATGTGTTTTATTTAGAAGTGTGGTGATGTATTTCGAAATCCCGCTAAATAACAATTGTTGTTGTTGTTGTTGTTGTTGTTTTTTTGGGGGGGGCACGGGACTCGGGACCCACTAAAGATGGTCAACAACGACATGGTTCCTGTGTGCACGGCTTGGGGTGCAGGACAACTCAGGGCCAAAGCGGGACCTGTGTTTACAAGTGAGCTGTTTTGCCTGGGTCCGGTGGTTGATTCTCCAGCTGAGGTTGGCATTTGGCACCAGCAAGCGCCCATTCTTCACTGTTTTGCATTTACCAGCCACGGATGGTACCAAAACCGATCCAGCAAACTCGATGCTAGCCCAAGGGACCTCCTGTACATTGCTGTGTCAGCTGTGTTTCAGCTAAGGCTCCTAGTTCACATCCAAGCTGTTTTGCTGGCGTTTAGTCAAAGGTGATCAAAGAGAGTTTTGCTGGTCTGCCGGAAGCTATTATCAAAAAAGGCTTGCCATGCATGATGATAACATCACATTGCTGCGACTGCTATCACGGCGAGCACCCATAATATGGTCAGCGAGCGGAATCTGCTTCCAAGGTGGACGACCAACAAATCAACAAACATGTGTCCAGCCAGTTTCTCTCACCTCCTTGGTGAGCTTGAGATTTGGGTGCTAAACAGGCCATGTTGGGGCTGTTGTGGCATTTGTTGCGGTGGTGGTTGTTGGTGTTGCTGGTGGTTGTGGTGGTGGTGGTGGTGGCGGTGGTGGTGGTGGTGGCGGTGGTGGTCGTCGTCGTCGTCGTCGCTTTCGCTGTCTCTGTCCCTGTCTCTGTCGCTGTCGCTGTCGCTGTTGCTGTTGCTGTTGCTGTTGTTATTGTTATTGCTCTTGCTCTTGCTCTTGTTTTTGTTGGTGTTCTTATTCTTGTTGGTCTTGTTGTTCTTGTTGTTCTCTTTCTTGTTGTGGTGGTGGCGGGTGGTGGCGTAGGCGCAGGCGTAGGTGACGGAGGTGGTGGCAGTGTCGGCGGTGACTATGGCGGTGGTTGGGGTCATGGTGTTCATTCTGGTTGTGGTTGTGGTTCTTGTTCTGGTCCTGGTTCTGTTCTTGCTGGTGGTCGCTTTTGAATAACCATCAACAAGTCTTTAGAGGAATGCAATAAGGGCTTTACAGTTGCCAATTTGTTTGAGCTCTTGTTTAGCCCTCAGAGATTGTTTCAGAGGGTCTGCACCAGGTGTCCGTTGCGTCGGCCACTCGCTGGGCGGCGCCATGTGCGACGTTTTCTCGGGCTGCATCAATAGTGGCCGCGCGGATGACCCGGCCGCTGGTTTGAAGCGAGCAAGAGGAAGGTGCAAGGATGGCAGCTGTGTTTGCCTCGTTTTGTTGAGGCTCGGGACCAAATTTCGGGTGGGTTGACAGGGAGACCAACAAGAAACCACACGGCCCTTGGAGGAAAATATTAAAGATGATTAAAGACTGATCAAAGGAATGCGGAGCCCACAACGAACATGGCATTTGCGCAACCGAGGACTACCAGAAGCTTATGTGGTGGCAGGGCAGCTGGGCTTTGCATGCAGTCGCAGCCCTGAGTTCACTCCCTTCAAACTAGGTTACCAACTTGTACGAAGGCTTTGTAAGGGGTGCTCGAGGGCACATGTCAGGGATAGCGGCTTCAGGGGCACGTGATTGAGCCCTAAGATGCATGATCCCAACAGCATAGGTATGGATCGTCGTGCACTTACGTTCTGACGTTTACACAGCTCGTTTCGAGTTTGCTTTGCGATTTCCTTCGGTTTAGATCTTGCACGGCAATGCACACCTGTCTAGACTTAGGATACTTTGTACATTTCACCAGTGTCTCCAAGTGAAGCAAACAATAAAATATACTTTTTATAACTGGGCCTATCTCTAATTGTGCAAACATTTGCGTCGAAACTTGTCTTGTTGGGTCCATCCCTTCAGGCAACAGCCACCAGGCCTCGGCTTCCGGCACGTTTGGCTTGGCCCAGGCACGCCAGAGTTGATGCCCGAGGTTGGCGTCGAGGCGACGCAGCGAAGGGGCGCAGGTCATGGTGGATTGGTGGCTTGGGGATTTGAACCCCTGGTTCTTGTGGGGGATTTGTTTTGCGGGGGGTTGTGGGAAATAATTATATAAGCCTCCAACCCCCAAGCCACCAATCTGAGCCAACAGCTAGAGGGAAGCTGAGCAACCGAGCATGGAGCCCAAAACCGGAGATTGGTCCAAACAATGACTACAATGATGTTGTTTGATACTCCATGAAAGTCTGCAGGGGAGGATTACCCAAGGTTTGATAGAACCCCCATCCTGGTCCAGATCAAATTATTGGGGACGCTATCCACACCTTGTGAGTTGCGGGTTTTACCATCCCCTTGCATTTGTTGGGCGTATTTGGGGGTCATCAGCTGTGACAGACCTGACCTTCCTCAAAGCGTCGGAACTGCGAAGGGAGCCAACCATTCAGGAATTGCCCGATTTCTGGAGTGCAGGCAGAACCGTTCTTTGAACAAGCGCCTCGTAGCCTTAGCCTCCAACTTTTCCAGCAGGCGAGGTAGGAGCAACCGCACTTTCCCTTTTGCTGCGTTTGCTTCGTAGTGTTCGTTTGGAACACTGGCTGCGGGGTTCGGGACTCTGCCACGTGCCGCTTTCTGGCCACCGCCCCGAAGCCTCTTGTCTTCGCCGGGGTCTCCTTTGATATATTACACTATGCTACATGTTCAAGTGCACTACAAATGTGGACCCTAGTCCAAGATTGCATCAGTTGGGAGCAACAACCAAAGTAGTTTAGTGCATCCGGGCAGCTGAAGGCGCTGTGTCATGTCTGGGGGTGGAGCGTTCGATTTCCTGTTGCAGCCAGGGAAGCACTGGATGATTGGATTGTCATTGGCTTCTCAAGAGGTATTCCCCCCAATCACTTACCGTCTTCCTTGCTAGGTGTGTGTCCATTTTCGTAGTGCTTTGGTTACAAAGAACTCCCTTCATTTGTCATTGGTTCCAGTATGTTCCCATCAGCACGCAAGACACCCATGCATGTTGCACGGTGGGGTGCAGGGAATCAACCAGAACCTCAGGAGTTCTGATGCCATAGGTGAGAACCATAGGCCCAGAGACTTCAGGAGCTTGGTGCGGCTGCCACCTTGGGCACTGTGGACTCCCTGTGCGCCCATGGCGGTTTGTTTTTGATAAGGGTACTCCTTTTGGGAGGTGGTTTCAAGGGACTCTAAAGGGTAACCAGAGATTTGGGGGTCCAAATCCTTTCGGTGCATGCCCGGCAATTTGTATTTGAGAAACAAAAAGGAATGAGCAAAACATGAATAGCTGATCGATTTCCAGACACCCCTACTTAGCACCCGGGTTTCTAAAAACCAGCTCTCCCAACAGGTGGTACTCGTTCGACATCCGGGCGTAGATGAATTCCATTCTAGCACCGCATCCAGACCAGCCCCGGAGAACATGGAAAGCCATAGCCGTTCCAGCGCCCAGGCATATGTAACTAAGCTTCCCTCCCAAGTTTGGTTCGCCAATGAAAAGGACGGTCCCTCGAAACAAGCGGCCGCTACATTGGATTCGCTAAAATTGCAGGACTTAATCGAGGAATGCGGATAGGAGCTGATTGGGGCGTACCTCAAAATAGGAACCATTTGTTGGCAAGGTTTGACATCCAAAAGGGGCAAACGCTTTTGTTTGTGTCCTTCATTTCGAGTAGCAACCAAAGAGGACCAAGCAAGAACAACTGCGCTATTTTTTGTTGTGGCCGTGCGGGCGTCATCTTGCGGATGACAGATGAGAGGGATGGCTGTCCCAAGTGACCGGCATGAGGGAACTGGAGCTGGATCCTCTCGTTTTTAGCTAGCTTTCTCTCAGCTGAAACCTATGTCTTTGCCGAGGGTCTGGGGTGGTTTGCAGCAGATTTCAAGGAGGGGGAGGGGTCCAAAGGTTCCCGAGGTGTTGATAATATCAGTTGGGCTTTCCATAGATGCAACGAACCGTAAATCGTTCGCAGGGTTGTTCAAAATGCGCTGAAGTCGATTTCGACGATTCAATGTTGATGCACGTGCTGGAATGTGGATTCAACCTGCAACCAGGTTGCGCATTGGCTTTCAAGCTTCCATGGCTGCACCGCAACATGCACGGGGTGTTTGGGCTTTAGGTAGCGTGGCCTTTTCACCAGGCCCGATCGCTTCCGCAAGCCGTCGCAATCGCGCCAGGTACACATATGGATCGCCCGCAACTTCCGACCCGCCTCTCAAGGCAGGTGCGTGCTTTTTGACATTCGACATACTTGCCGCAAACATCGCCTTTTGGCCAAGCTTGCTTTGCTCTCTGGATTGCTCCGCGCTGAAAGTGATGGCACATGTCCTTTGATGCGGGTGAGTAACGGGAATGAGGGAATAGTGCCATCTACTTTCCCTCAGTGGATGTTGGTCTCCCGATGTCTTGCTCCGACTTGCTCCTCTTTCTAACACCCTTCCCCTTTCATCCATAAAAGTATGTTCCGACTTAGGAAGGTCGCTCAGACTCGTCAAGGGAATCGCTGGTTCTACCTTTTGGGTCGCTTGGCATTGGGATATGGCCTCAAGCTGCTCAGAGCTCGTTCACTCGCCGCATATCAGCTCCTTTCTGTGGCCCTTTCTGCGTTCTGCCTTCGTTCCTACGTCATGGGCCTGAGCGGATCCCACCTTCATGCGGACATCCGCGACGTCGCGCCCTTTACCACAGAGATTGTCGTGCAGAACAACATGCAGACTCCGGTGCTCATCATTGAGGCGAAGCATCATGGAGATGCAACTCGTCCACATTGGCCTGGAACCAAATCACAACGGGATCTGCCGGCATGGGGGTTCTTGACTTGGATGTATTGCTCCTGGCCCATGATTTTGTTAATTGTAATGTTTGCTCAATCATGTCTCGTAGGCCTTAAATTGACATTTAGCATGTGATGATTTGGTGTGGGTAGTTTAGCCAAGGGTTTGCTTGCTTTAGAATCATGTCAGGCCCGGCGAGGCAATCCGTGTCGTTTTGCGTAGGCTTTCACGTTCTTTTCTGAAGTGCAGCAGTGCAGAGTTCCGTTTTTTCAGATGGCTGACAAAATAAGTCATTTTTTCCTCGAAAGGTTCTCAGAGCCCTTCTGAGATCCCCTTGTCAGCAGGCACCTCAGAATCCTCAAAGGATTTTGTATCCATCCTACACCACAAGTAATTAATTTGAGTGTGTCTAAGAACGAGAGAGCTCACTTTGAGTGGGCGGTTCCTTTCCCTTACCACGCAACGCGAGCTCAAAACAAGATACACCCATTTCAGCCCCCAACTGTTATTTCCCACTTCCCAAGTTCCTGCACGTTTTTTGTTGTTGTTTGTTTTGTTGAGCGGCAAACCGCAAATTTGGACCTCTTTTTCGCCAATCCACTCAGGAAGAGAGACTGCCTCCAAAACCCAAACTTTGGTGCATTTGGCTTGGATGTTAGGACTTCAACTCTTTTTTGCCAACTAATGGGTTTTCTGTATTAAACCACTTAAAGTTAGTCACTGTTCGCAGGGAGCAGGAAGCAACCGAGCAAAGCGCATTTACAAAGTTGGGGCCAAGGCCACTCCGGCGCACGGCATCGAACACTCGGTGCCCCCGGGGGAGCACGCGATTATGTCCGGGTACTTGAAGGACTCCGCGGCTCCGAACGATCGGCGCGTGGCCACCTTTGTTGGAGCACCGTTCGGGTGGAGGTCAAGGAGAATCAAAGGGAGAAAACCATGTTGCGGAGGGGCCCCCGAAAAATGACACACACATAGTTTTAAGCATTTTCTCGGAACATGTGAGCTTCCCTGTTGAAAGGCAACTGCAGGGAAGCCAATTTGACTCGAGCTTCCAGTCGTCGGCAGCATCTCCAAGACTTTTCGAACTTTTTGCGGTTTGCGCTCCAAAGAAATGAGCTGGGTCCCCAAACCCAGTGACCGTGCAAACAGAAGTGTCATAAGGGCTGAAGCAGGCCTCAATATGCCCATGGAGTCACACATTGAGATCCACGATTCTTGGGTGGGCTTCTTTTGGCTTCCTTGAGCAATCCACCAATCTTGCAAATGCCATGATCTTGGGTCCATCGAAGTGAGCATGTTCAGAGTTTCTCAAGACATCTTGTGGGGCGGGTGTTCCTTGAAGCGAGCATTGCGACTGCTAAAATGAACCCAGTTACCCCCACAGGAAACCACTGCCTGTGCAAACACTGGAAACCAGTGTGGTGGTTCAGCTACGAGAGACAACTTTAGGGGACCCCCTTTTAGTAAGGAGAATTGGGTCTCCCGGGTCTCCCGCAAAAACGCATGTTTAGTCGTGGCATGTTTTTTGGAAGCCATTTTCGGACCCCCTTTTGGTTCTAAGGAATCAAGAGGAGCCCAGAAGCTGGTTGCGAGAAAGCCACCCATGTTGATTCCCCCCCAGTCATATACATATATGATCATGTATGGCTGTGGGTCAACAATATGTACCCAACATGGAATCCTCGCAAATGGAAACATGGACCAAAATTCCTGCGGTCCCCTTTTTTGGTGGTTTCATTTTGACCCATGCATACATATATATATATATATAGAGTGAGGTTTGGCCGCCTCGCGCACGGCCTGGGCCGGAGGAGCCCAGGGCCACCATCTTCGTGCGCACGGGCCTGCACGAGGCCAAGCGCATCTTGGTGCCCAACCTCGGCCGCGTCACGGTGTCTGCAGCGCCCCATGGCCTCAAGGCCGGGCCAAAACGCCGAGGAAGCGCCCGCTGCTTTTTTTTTCTTTCTCCAGCTTCTGAGCAAAAGAAGTGGCGTTTGTTCCGTGAGGCATGGCGGTTTTTTTGGAGGGGAATGATGCCCCCCTTTTTTGGTCTACGTCTCGAGAAATTGGAGGCAAAGGTGATGTGCCTGTGGGTGTGTGTGTCTCGATGTTGGGGCAAAAGGTGCGGAGTTGTTGTTTCAAATCAGGCCCGGCGAAGCTAAGCCACCCACGTTTCTTTTCCTTTCCCCAGCCAGCGCTTTCTCGTGGGTCATTTCGCCCCGTTCCTGGGAGGTCGAAACGGTGGACACGAACATCTCCATTGAGGACGGCGCACGCCACCAGCGACTAAGAATTCGGTATACCCTTTTGATTCCCCGAGCCTGGGCCTGGGGTCTCCTTTAGTCCTGCCCGCTCAAGGGAGAGCGACACTTAAGACCCTGCCACCTTGGTGTGCGCCATCTGCTTTCGGCGGCCGGCCCGGATGAAGAGCATGGGTGGGGACTTTAGTTGCGATGTGTTCAAACAAGCCGCAGCTGCTGCACCTCCAAGAGGCGCATGTTGACCTTAGCAAGAGGATGAAGTTGTCTGGCGAGCTCGCCTGGAGCTAAGTCACAGTTTGGGCCTATGGTTGGGGATCCCTTTGAGGTTGTGAAACTCCAATTCTTTTGTGTGGATGAATCATCAGCCATGCGCCCCCCACTTGTGCGCTTCGGAGGACTACGATGGTGATGCGGCCTTGATCAAGGGCAATGATACAGTGCCAATGCTATTGCACAACGAGCATTTCAAGGACAGCTCGAGCTGGCAATTTGTTATGGCGATCGATGCGAAGTGTCACAGTTTCTTGTTGGCTAGCCACCTGGCGCAGTCTGTTTGACCTACCACAGCTTGGGGCAAGACTTGGGGCACTCTTGCCACCAACTATAAACAAACATTTCTATTCATTTTTCGCAGATTCACGATCGAATGCATACATATGTCATCCTTCAAAGCAGGGCCAACATGGCTTCTACCCCCAAACCAGTACCGAGGCTCGGGTTATAAGCAACTATGTGTTGACGACTATCAGGGCAGCTACCTCCCTCCAATAAACATGGAACCTGACAGGGGGGTCCTGGAAAACCATTTTCCTTTAAACCGACCCCTGTCAGGTTCCAGGCCCAGCCCCAGCCCCAGCTTCAACCCCAACCCCAACCCCGACCCCAACCAACCCCAACCCCAGCCTCAGCCAGCCCCAGCCCCATGTTAATTGGTGGGAGGGTCCCCACTTTGTCCCTGAGGACGTGACCGCTAGCCCCAGACCATCAGTGACCAGCTCCCCGGGCCAGTGAGCGCTTCCGCGGAGACTTTTTAACGCTTCCGCGGCGGTGATCCGCGTTTCTTCGCCAGGGCCGCAGCTGAGCCTTTTCGGGGACTGAAGTTAGGATTCGGCCAGAGAGTTTACCTTTAGGGCGATGGACATTTTGGGTGACTGAAGCCTCCTGGGGAAACAACTCTGGGCTGGTGGGCCAATTGGAGCGCCCCAATTGCAGCCCGGCCCGTGGGTACACTCGATTGAACCTCCGAGCTGCGGTGCAGGCGCTTGACCAAGGGTCTCGAGGTGTGTGGTGAAAATTTGGACCCCTGTCTCACTTCCTGAGTGCCGGGGCTCGGACTTGCGGCACTTTTTGGCTTTGGATCATTCATTTTAGTTGCAACTAACAGGTTTGGACTTTTCTTGGGCCGTCCACTCGGAAAGTGAGCTGTGTTTGCTTGAGGAAGGGCGTGGACTTTTGTTTTGGGTTTCAGAGGTAAGGGGAAATATAGGGTTGCCAATTTTTTGAGATCCCTGGGTTCAAGGAACTTAGGCACTGCAGCTCGCATGTAGAATTAATGCACATGGCCCACGCATTTGAAGAGGCCAAGGCTAGACAGCCGCTTTCAATTTTGTTGCAAGTTTCGCTCAGGAGGTTCATGCCATACCCCTTGAGATGGAGAAAAATAATGAAACACACGTGAGTTGACATAGCATCCATTCAGGTTTGCGAGCCAAGAGGTGGATTGGCAAGGCATGCCAAAACAGTTGCCTTACCAGTTTCAGAAAGAACCAATGCCAGAAGATGCAAAAGGACCGGCGCACAACGCACAAGTCAATACAGACAATGTACGTGCTGGATTCATTCGTGTTTGTGTGTGTGTGTTTTCTTTCGTGTGGGGTGTATTCATGTGGCAGTGGGTCAAAAATGGGTATCCATTTTGGAGCCCTAGTAAATGGAACCAAGGACTAAAGCCTGCGGTCCCCTGGTGCCATACCCATGTTGGGATGGTTCCTTGGATTCCTTGGACCGGAGGCAGCATCAACTGTCAATGCACTCCTGTTGTTCCAAGCCATAACCCGGTATGCCTGAGGACACGACCGAACGTGAAGGCCAAGGGTTCCTCCATGCACCGTTCGATGAAATTGGGGGGGGGGGATTGGGTTTTGCCCTGAGTACCGGAGGAAGGCGAGGGAGAGTGACACAAGTCTGTACCCTGCCCGGTGCCGTTTCCATGCGTTTTTTTTTTTGTTTCTTTTCTTTGTCTTTTGTTGTAAGAACAACTCAACTCTTGGTCCGAACCACGAAGGTAAACCATGTCACGCAAGCGGCCGACTGGAAAGCTTTGTTCTGGCAAAAGGTCGGCGCCAGGATGGATCTTACCGGCCCCTTACCCCTGATTCAACCCCAGTTGCTTTTCCGGCAGGTCCAATTGGAGGATTCCTTCCTTCAAGCAAACACCGCATATATATGTGTATATATATTAATATATATATATATATATTTATATTATAATTATGTATGTATATGTATATATATATCTTTATATACATACATATATATATATATATATATTCACACCCCGGGGGTGTAGTTCTCGACCAGTACGGACGGACCGACCGGAGCGAATTTTGGCGAAGCCAGGACGCCACCACGAAGAGCGGGTGCTGGAAGGGCTTGCGCGCGAGGGCCCCGGATCGACTCACCGCCTGACGCCTGAGCCCCGGGGCTTGGACGTTTTGGGGGCACGTTTTGGGGTTGCCATTTTGGTGGTCATCGAAAGAAAGTGAGTTGAGGGTTTTTTGGGTTCCATTTTGGTGGTACACCAAAAAAGTTCGGGACTTTTTATTGGAAAAACAATCTGAAAAAACGGAGTTGATTTGAGGGTTCTCCAAATAAATGGCGGGTGGCTCCTTTGAAGCATTTAGAGCATCAAAGAATCGGCTAAGTAACTCAAAATGCAGACTCGAGCAACACTTTGTTTGATTGCTGCGATTTGCCGGTTCGATAGGGGAATCTGTGGTTTTCCACCAGAAGCACAGCAACTCGAAACAAATCCCAGCCCCTTCGCAAATTTGGTGGAGCCATGCAACTTTTGACAGTCCACCCTTCTTTCCTTCGAGTTGTTTGCAGGGTCAGTTTGTGTAGCGTTTGTTTAGCTGTTTTTGTGATTTGTTACATTGTTATTTTTTATTTTTTTTTTATAGTTTTCAGGAAGGTGTGTTTTTTGGCTAGAGCATTTGCAGTGTTCCATCAAAAGCTGATTTGGCCAAGGACAATCAACAGCAACAGAACAAATCAAACTCAATAACAGCTCCCAACTCAGCCTTGAACTCGCTCCCCCGGCTTGAGTTCAAGGCTTCGTTTCTGAGCTTTTGGGACGTCCATGTTTGTTCGGAGTTGAGTTGTTTATGTGTTTTGTGTTCGCGACCATTGGCCTTGGGCGCTCTTTGGGCAAGATTGGGTCAGGGCTTTGCATACAGGATGGGTTTTGTGTGTCACTTCAACGGACCCAGTTTGAGTGGGTTTCCTGAAAACCTCGAAAACTTACACAACCAACCTGCGGCCCGCTTTTCCACGCCCGATGTGATTTCCACCAAGGGGATGGATCAAGTTGACCAAGGGACGAACTCAGAGGTCCTCAAGGGGAGGGCACCTCGTGATCCAGGGGACACCTCCCCATTCTTTTCAGGGATGCTTCTTTCCCGAAAACCATCAGAACCCCAGGAAGGATAGCTGGTTTTTGAAAAGAGCGATGGCTGAAAAGAATGGAAAAGGAATCAACCCCTCGAATTCTGATGTTGGTTTGGGATTTGATGACCGCTTTCCCCAGAATTGTTTGCATTTAGCACGCAAGGGTTGGCTGCAAGACGTGACCCTTGGTTTCTTACGGAGTGGAACCCCCGCAAACTCCAAGCCACCAAGACGGAGCAAGCCTGGTGCGATCCTCACCCCCCTTTGTGCAAAAGGGGAGGGGGTAACGTCTTCCATTTTCCCCGTGCTTGGAAGACTAACGCTCAACTCTCGAAACCTGCCTTCGCTGTCTATCAAGAGTTGTGTCATGGGAAGAGGAAAGCCCCACATTTGCAAAACCCGGCGATTGGCGTAGGTGGGCGTGAGCAGTTGTGAAGCATGCGCAGGGATTGCACGAGCGTCTGCTTTGCCGTGTGTGCCCAGTGTGTGCATGCCCGTGGCGTCTCTTGGCCAAGGCCTACTGTGAGAACGACCTCTCCGGCGGAGGGAAGCAGGCTGATGCCCGTGTGCTGAACCAGCCGCTTGACCAACGAATAGCTTGGCGGCTGAGAGCTGAGGGTGGTCCTTTGCTTGAACCCTTATTTCTTATCTATGGTAAGTTCGATGTGAGCTCTAGGCTTCTTTTTCCACGGCTGCCTGCCAACTCGACAAATGTGCAGAAGCCCGGGAGGTCCTCCGGATCCCTTCAAACGTCCGTTTGGGGGGCGACCATTTGTCCTCAAAAAGGTCGTCTCTGACTTTGTTTTTTTAAGTACATTTTTTAAATTCCACAGGTGCCACTGCAATCACACTCACTTTGTCCGAAACTGCGCCTCCAAGGAACTACTTCCCCCACCCGACGATGAACACCTTGCAGGGCGCTCGGACTTTGTGTGCGAAGACACGAACGATTGCCCCGTTTCTTCCGTTCACGATCCGGTAGGGTTGGTACCCGATATGTTGGTGTTTTTGCTTGTGACTAGTTGCGTAAACATTGTTGTTGCATGTTGTTGCCATGTGGTGGAAGAATCGACCAGATGATGGTTGGTAAGACAACCCTCCATGTCCACCAAAAAGGCTCGGGCCGGGCGTTGAGAACGAATCAATTCAACGAACAGAAAACAGAACAACAACTGCAGCTGTATACCATGTACAGGCACCGAGGCAATCCATCGCAATTTACTTCAAGAGCGCGCCCTCTCGTGTGCGACGTGTTGCCACCGGTGTCATATTCTCAGCTGATTCGAAGTTGCTGGAACGCAGGGATCCTTTGGGTGGTTTCGTGCTAGGTGGTGGCAGGGTAATGCCGACCCAAGATTCATTCATGCTGCCTTTTCGGTGAGCGCTGGGCAAAAAAACACTTTTCGGGACAACTCCTTTAAGGGAACCGTTCGGGTACAGTGCTAATTTGCATGGGAGTATTCAAAATGGGACTTTACTACCGTAAGGAAAGGAAACCCAACAGAGGGCACGGCGACTTCTCTACACAAGGGAGGTTTTTGTTGGGGTCCATGTGACAAAAGCCAAGCTCCATGTGAAGACCAGCAGCATTGGGGCACCACCTCACCCCTCCCATTGCTGAGGTCCTTGCAGTGGGGCAAGGACTCCCACCTCGCTGAGTGCTCAGGCAAACCGGAGGACAGCGCCGCGCCCAAATGAACCAAGGTGGATGTTTGCCTGGTCAACATCAAATCATGCACATGTACATCATTTGTATCGTGTTTTGTTATGTCCGCATAATTTGTTATGTCCACAAGTCCACACCGTGTCTTCTCCGTTAGTGTATGTGCGTAGCCAAATGTTTCAACTGATACTGCAAATCATGAGACCATATGTTGCTTAGAGTTGCAAGGGGGACGGACCCCAACTGAAACTAGCCATGATAAGAGTTATGTCCTATTTGTTGGGGCATTTTGGTGGATCACACACGGTTGCATTAGAGAAAGCTAGCACATTGTGCTCCAGTAGTACTCAAGTTCTGGTTAAAACTTGCTTTTGCTACTCTCACGCTACGCACCCAGAGGCCCACTTGCCAATGCAATCCTTCGCATTGACACGGAACATTCTACCGCGAGTATAGCTCTTCCCTGGGGTTCAGCCCGGTTGGCCCCATTTGGATGATGAAAATCCTTAGGTACATCATGGTGGTTCTACTAACCCCCATGGTTTTAATGGTGGCTTGAACTTCAGGGTCTTGTTTTTGGCAACAAGCGCCCTAGCTGGGCTAACCCACAGGCGTGATGGCCTTTGGTGGAAAAAACTGGCGAGGAGTCCACCGCCTGAATGGCTTTCCCTGTGATAAGGCTATGGGTCAAGACCGTTTTGGGGTCCCATTTTGGGGTAGGTGCACCTTTTTTAGAACCTATTTCAGCGGGGATTGAATCGGATGTTCACTGGGGGCTAACCGGGATTTTGACCCATGGCCAGAAAGGTCCGGTCCGATTTTGGGGACGCTCTTTTTAGACATGGCCACTTGCAGGGGAGTGCATGTTAGTTTGTAGGCCTATGCATGTGTATGAACTGTGTTCTGATTGTTACCTGGGCTTGCCCGCTATATTTGAAAAAACATGAAAAGGGGTCAGCTGTGTGACGTGCAGGGCATGAGGCAAGTGACTTGCACCGTGATATGCAGTTTCATTTGGCTGGCTTGAAACTCAGGTGTTTGGTGGCCACATCACAACGCGATGGTCTATGAGGACTGGTACGTGCACACCGCTGCTCGACCTGCAAGGATGCCAAATGAGCAGTAGCCTGTGCCCTCCTGTGCCTGTTTTCAGTGCGCGGGCGCATCCATTAGACTCTACATTAGACCCTTGGGTGTAGAAATCTAGGAGAACGGTTGGTGTTTTGGTGCCACTTTCTGTGATACCCAGCTGGATAAGAATCAACCACTAAATGGTATCACAGAAAGAGGCTTCCATTTTCCGCCGTTAGCCGACCCTTGTCCCGCCCACGTCATTCTCATTTTCAGCAACCAGAATCAGACCGCTCGGGTCAATGCAGTGAGTTGCTAGCTGCATGGCTTGCAAAGGGCTTAGCAAATTGAGTCACGACCCAACAGGCTCGCTAGCAGGCCCCTCGGGCTATGCGGTATGATTGGATCCTGGTCAGCTCAGGTCGGATCATTTGGGCCATTTGAGATCGGGGGCCCCTATATGAAGCCTTGGTGGCCATCTAAAAGTGGGGTCCCCTCTACGGACTGCCCAGCTTCCAGACTCTAATCAAAAGTGGGTCTGACGGGTGCACAGGACAAAAGCTACTTGTCATGCGGCTTCTGCCTTATGCCCCCATGATCTGAGGAACAGAACTACGCTGACCGCCTGGAGAAATTGAACAAGAAGCTCGGCAGGGGAGCTAGCCAACTGTTTGCTATTTCCCACCGCCCCAACGAATCTTAATGGACTTTCCCGGGCTCATCGTATGATTCAGGGGGCCTCACGACGGAAATGGGCTGTTTGCTCGAACAAAGTCTTGCGCCACACGAATCTCAGGCAGTCCTTGCGAGATTGCTTGGACGCCAAGCCTGCATGCAAGATACAATCCAGAGGTTTCAAAGGACAAGAATTGTCCGCCATGCACTGCAAGTGTCGGGAATTCCCCCCCTGCAATGCAACGGTTGAACTGCATGCTTGTCGTGGTTTGTCCTATGGCACCAACTGGAGCTCCAGTTGTTCTCTGGCACTGTGCGAGGGCCCCTTTTGCTTGCCAGCTTTACACTACACACAGTCGACCTCAAAAAGGTTTGCCTTTTTCTACTCAGATAGCCCTTAGTTGGTGGTTTGGATTGGCGGTTTCGGGATTTGAACCCCTTGTTCTTGTAGAAGTTAAGCTGGGAAAGCCCCCCAACCTCCAAACCCACCAATCCGAACCACCAATTCGGGCGCGGTTCTGACGGTCACTGAACGGCTCAGGGATTTCCCCAAGATCGAGATCTATGAAGAGGGCGCCCTCTTTGTGCACCTCGCCTTCGGAGCAGAGCACCCGCAAAAGGAGCTCGAGGCAACCATGCAGTGCCCTGGCACTGACTGCCGAAGTTGGCCCTGGATGCGACAAAACCAGAGGAGGATCTCTCCTTTTGGGAAATGGACCGACCTCAATTTTTTTGGGTTCCATGTTTATCTCCAGGCCGGTGGGCGTGCCAAGTTGAACTGGAACCTCCCTTGACAGGACGCGTGGTGTGTGAATCTCATCTCGGGTCATTTGTTTGGTTTCGTCGCAGGTGGGAAAAGTAATCGCAAGCCCTTTTGATGGGCGTCATGGCATCACCATGTCCATTACCCAATGAACTCCAGGCCCCGAAAGCAGTGAGACATTCAAGGGTCGCTGCACTTCTTCCTCTTTAATAGTTGACGAATTTCCTGGTGAGTTCGTGCAAAACTGCAACTTGCGGAGGTCCAAGAGCAAGGGTCGTTCAAACACAATTCTGACTCCAATTGCTAAATGGTAGCGGCCTCTTTCTCCCTTCCTGCCCTGGTGTCCCACTAGTTACGGATTAGGATTAATCTGAGGATGCCCAACTGAGCGCCTGACATGAGCGGAGCAGTCGAGGAAGCACATGCCAAACTGGGCGCTGGTGGAGCGTACGCCCCTGCTGGATGAGCATGAGCCCGCGCTCCTGGCACAGGAGCGGAATGCTGATGCTGAATTGCAACCCCCGAAGTCCACATGGCTGTGAGCGGCTGTGGGTCAAGAAAATGTACCGAAATGGCACCTTGGTAAATGGGACCAACAACTAAAATAGGCGTAACCCCGGCTGTTGAATTTTGAGCCACACCCACATCAGGTCGCATCAAGTCGCTTGAACATGCGACGAGAGACTTTGTTTCGGTGATTTGCTCGCAGATCGGAAAGGTGCCTCCCAGGTTAGCTGGAACCCCAGCAAGCAACGTGTAGAGGAACATTCGTTTGGGTCACCTTCTTGGGTTGCATGCCTTGGGTTTCATGTTAGTTTTTCCTCGAGCCTCTCGGCACAAGGGATGCGTTTTGTAGCAAATCCTTATATCCCCCTTCCAGCAATCTCCCAGAACTTCTTCCAATTTTCAATGCCATAAGTTGCTCAGGGCTCCTTAAAAGATGCCTTTTGCAACCATTTGAAACATGTTGCCTTTTCAACACCAAAATAAAGATGGAAGCCACCATTTACAAGGCAATGTTCAGGGGTGGCTCATGTAAGGATCCCTGTTGCTGGTTGCTTATGTCAGACGGAGGACCAAGTGAACTTCGACTGCGCGCTGGTGATGCCTGGCAACAAGGCTGACGGAGAACGGAACGGAGCGGTGAGTAGGGGTGCCTTTGTATTGCTAGTACCTAATGTGTCCTAAGCCTGTACCTGAAAAAAAAGGAGAGAGAGAGAAAAAAACACAAAAAAAGACAGTGTTTTAGCATGTTTGACTATGACCATGTGACCAGCAAAGAGCCCGCCCTTGGGCTCTTGTCGCTATGGTAGTGGGTATCCCTTGCATGGATTCGGGTGCCGAGGCCAACCGCGGCCAGCACTACGGCACCGGCTTCTGCGGCCGGGCGCTCAGTCCAGCGTGCGGTGGGGACTTTCGGTGGCTTTCGAAGGGTCGACACACTCCACGGGATCCCCAGAGACAGGCGCAAAAACGGCCGTTGGAGCGGTTCAAAGCCATGCGCAAGACATGAGACGTGGGGGGCCCTGGAATTGGATCAGGGAAATGGGCGTGCCAGGAACTGCTTTGCAAAATGTGGGCTGTAGCTAGCACCCCAGCCCACATGGAACCATGGAACCATGGTGAATCAAAGAAGATTGTTTTGGAGGACCCGTGAACCCAGGTGAGGTAGAGAAGGTGGTTTTTAACCACCCATCACCTTTCCATCACCGAGACCTGAGGACTGGTAAATGTGCACTCCGGATATCGTGACTACTTGGTGTCCAGTGTGCAAACCCCTGGCTGGCAGAAGATCGCCCAGAAGCTGCCACAGTGCAGGAGGGGCGTTTTGGATGCCGCGTTTGGGAGCGCAATCCTCGAAACCAGCAACAGAGAAGCATGTGAATGCTTGCAACGTGTTCGGCAGCTGGTTTGCCAAGAAACATCGCCGGAGAAATTGACCTCCGGAAGGGATTCGCTGCGTGCTCCAGCTTTGTTTCACTTCTTATCGGCCTGAGAGCATCCGTTTCACCATCCGTCTTAAAATGGAGGTGTTTTTTCCGCCCGTTTGATGTGGGGTTCGGAAATGGCGTTGGGGTCCCAGGCGTTTGTGAGTGGCACCCCTTCAAAGCGGGGGCTGGCGCGGGGCCCGGTCCAGGAGGGTCATTTGCGCTGGACACTCCCGGGGCGGCTCCGTGTGCGAGCTCTTCGCTGCCTGCGCGCCTGGACTAAAGCCACCAAAAGCAGAAGGGGCGGACGAATTTCCTGTAGTTTCCATGGGTTTCCTTTGGTTTCCATGGGTTTCCCTTCAAATCCATGGGTTTCCCTTATTTTTTCATGGGTTTCCTATGGGCTTCAAACATGGGAGAACACAGATTAAGCGACGGTCAGGCGCCGCCCTGAAAAGCATCTAAGCCAACCGAAACCGACTCCCAACCAAATCAGAGCCGATGGGCAGCCGATCGCTGCGTGAGGCATGGGTATGCGACAAACCTGGCCAACCGTAGCGGCCAAGCATACCGCCACTTGAAGCTGCATGATGAAATTGTCTTATGTTGGAGAAGTGAGTGAATTGTTGATTTTGAGTGGAAGTCTGGGGAGGGCTGCGAGTGTCCAATATGAGGCATGAGGCCTTGGGATGGGTGGCAAGCACCGGGGTTTTGCGAGGCCCAGTTCGCGCCCCCGACTTGGCAATGAGAACATGTGAAAAGACATCAGGATCCAATGGTGTGCCCTCAGTTCGGCGATCTTGGGTTGGCGTCGATCTCTGGACCTGTGGTGCATAAAGCCTTTGTCCTGGGCAGCTCGCGGCGTTTCATGCCATGGCTCCTTCCCAAGGTCCATGGCATGTCAGGTGAACAACGGCAAGACTTTGGACCAGGACTACCGGCGCCTGATGTGGATGCAGGCCACCGGAGCGAGCTGTGAGAGTCTGGGCTTATGGCACCAAGAGGAGTGGCTGAAGCCAGTTGCCCAGTTGCACCCATGTTTCGTTATTTCTTGGGGGTTTCAGGGGGTCCAGTGGCATCCCGTTTCCCGGGTGTCAAAATCAGAATCCACGAGCCAAAAAGGGGTGCCCTGTGTTCACATTGTCCACTGGGGCTGACTTGCTGAGCCGTTGATTTGTTTGCAGATTGCTCGGAAGATCCTCACCGATCGAGCCTTTAAGCTTCCTTCTTGGAAGATCCTTATACCTGCCAGCTGCGGTTTGGGGTCGATGAGTCAGCATCCGGCACCGTTCCAACGCGACTTGGGGGCTGCAAGAAAGCTTTGGACAAAGTCTTCGCCTGGATGATCCTCATGTAAATCTGCCCGTGGCTGGTCATTTGGATCAGAATAGCCCCCAGGCACATCGCTCCCAAAGATGGGCCCGAGGTTGCAAAGAGCCAGGCTAAAACAGCAGCAAGCAGCAGCCGGGGTTACCTGTTGATGTTTGAAGCTTGGGACCCCTTTTGTGAGAGAGCCCCTTAGTTTGCAACCCGGACGCAGGTCGAAAAAGTTGAACACCTCGCAGCCACTGCCTAGCCTCCTCTTTGCAAGGCGGAGCCCCGGGTGTTGATGCCGCTGCAGAAAGCCGCTTGAGCCGTCTGAGCCCGCCCGGCGCGCGGCGCTTTTGGCCCAGTGGTCCAGTGGAGCTTGCCCCTGGCTCTTCCCTCCGTCCAGTGGGTGTCTTGACACGGAGGCCCAGTGTCAGTGGTTGGCTTCCTACTTGCCCCAAAAAAAGATACCCAACCATCTGCCCGCCCGCGCACACACACACACGTACAAACCCACACTGACCCAGTGACCCAGCCACCCAACCACCCAGACACCCACCCACCCACCCACCCACCCCCTGCGCGCACGCGTCGCACGCACGGCACGCGCTCGCGCGCAATCGCCCGTCACACACACAGAGACACAGACACACAGACACACAGACACACAGACACACAGACACACAGACACACAGACACACAGACACACAGACACACAGACACACGCACACAGACACAGACACATACACAGACACAGACACAGACACAGACACACACAGACACACACACACACAGACACACACACACAGACACACACACACAGACACTCACACACAGACAGACACACACACACAGACACACACACAGACACACACACAGACACACACACACACAGACACACAGACACAGACACAGACACACACACACAGACACAGACACACATACACACACGCGCACACACTCAGACACACACAGAAACACACAGAAGACAAAACACGCACACACACCAATCACACACACACACACATGCACACACGAGCACACCACACACCCACACAGCAACCACACACCCCACAACGCACACCCACACACACACAGACACGCACGCACACACACACACAAGCCGACACACAGACACCAACCGCACACCCCACAACACACACACACACACACACACCGACACACCATCCACATATACACACACACACACACACACACGCGCCAAAGACAGACAGACAGAGACAGACACAGACACAGACACAGACACAGACACAGACACAGACACAGAGACAGACAGAGACAGACAGAGACAGACACAGACAGACACAGACACAGAGACAGACAGAGACAGACAGAGACAGACAGAGACACAGACACACAGACACACAGACACACACACACACAAGACACCCACACCCACACACCCACACACACACACGCACACACGCACACACGCACACACGCACACCCGCACACACGCACACACGCACACACGCACACACGCGCACATCGCGAACACGCGCACACGCGAACACGCGCACACGCGCACACGCGCGCGCACACACACACACACACGCGTGCACACACGCACACACGCGCACACGCGCACACGCGCACACGCGCGCGCACGCGCGCGCACGCGCGCGCGCAAACGCACACGGACACGCACACGCACACGCACGCACACATGCACACACGCACAGGCGCACACGCGCACACGCGCACACGCACACACACACACACGAGCACACGATTACACGAGCACACCACACACTTATACACGAACCACACACCCCACAACACACACACACACACAAACCGACACAGACGCACACACGCACACCAACCACACACCCCACAACACACACCCACACACCCACACACACACACAAACCGACACACACACACACACGCACACCAACCACACCCCACAACACACACACACACACCAACCACACCCCACAACACACACCCAGCCCCCCACACGCGCGCACACACACACATGAATGAATGAATGAATGAATGAATGAATGATTGAATGAATGAATGAATGAATGAATGAATGAATGAATGAATGAATGAATGAATGAATGAATGAATGAATGAATGAACGAGTGAACGAATGAATGAATGAATGAACGAATGAACGAATGAACGAATGAACGAATGAACGAATGAACGAATGAACGAATCACGCACGCACGCGTGCGAACACAGACATGGACGCAGACACAGACACAGACGCGGAGACAGATTAGACAGACACAGACAGGCACAGGCACGGAGAGACACACACACAAACACACAGACACACAGACACGCAGACACAGACACACAGAGAGACAGAGACACAGACTCGCAGACACAGACACTCAGACGCAGACACAGACGCCGCGCCTGCGTGCGCACGCATACCCAATGATACGCACATGCACCTGCACGCGCCCAGCACACAACCACTCACCCACACCCACCTACACACCCACCCACACCCCCACACCCACCCACAAAGACACCCACACATATCCACACCTTCACAGACGCGAGCGGTTCCTGTTGAAAAATGACCTGACCTTCGGGCGAGTCAGCTGGCGTTTAAAAAATGTCTTTGGAATAGGCAGAATGCGTCGATGATGGAGATGTTAATTTCATTTAATGTTATCCTTTCATGATGCAGGGGTGAGGGACAGACTGAGACAGCTTTCGGGATCTGGCCACGAGCCTTGCATTTGGGCATGCCACTTGTTAGAACAATGTGCACGACAGTTTTTTTTTCGAGGAGGCGGGCATGGGTTTGCTCCTGGACCCCTTGCTGGATCTGCTCATAAGAGAGCGTCCGGCAGCAAGTGCTGTCTCTCGTTTAGCCCATGTCGAGAAAGGAGCTATGCTTATCAGGTGTAAAAACCAGAAGTCGTCAATGTACGCGCTTCCATGTTCAGAGGCGTCGCTTTTGTGCGGGTGGAGCAGGTCTCAAAATGATCATCGTATCCATATTCAGCATGCGCAGTATCAGGCTGTCACAGGACCGTTGTTTGATGCAGGTCAGGCTCCGCTCGACTCGCTCAGATTCTCCTTACTCATCTCGGCACGGAAGAGAAAGGTGTCTCTGGGTATCCAGGTCCAGACATGCCAACTAGCCGAGTTCAGTGTAAGACAGGACGGAGAGGAAGATTTCCGGCTGATCTGAAGTTCTTGTAGTGCTTTCAGTCATTTGTGTTTCGAGCGCCGGTTGAGTTGGACTGAGCAGCTTGGATCATTCAAATTTAAGCAGTGTTCTCTGGATTCTGGTCGGAAAGGTATTGTCAAAGCAAAAGGCCCTTTGATATGTGGGGGTTTACCAATTCAGGGTCGGCATTCGCCTGGGGGGTTTGAGAAATTCATCCTTTTGCCAACAATCATGCAAGCGGGCCGGAGGCTTTTGCAAGACTACTATGCCTTTGAAAGGGCGGGCTCCTTGTCCACTTCCATGATTGGTGGAGACAGGGTGGCTTTCTCCTAGGTCCCCTAGTAGTGCCCTTTTACCCTTTTTTGGGGGAGGGTTCCGCTACTAAAATAGACTACAGCTAAAAGGGTGCCCTGATTCTAACCTCTCTACTGGAGGACCTAGTCTCAGATTGAGAGCATATTGCCCTCCTCTTGCAGGGGCCATGAGCGCCTGGCTGAAAGGGGCAGCAACCAGACACGCCCGGCCGCTCAGTGCAACCTGAGAGACTTCAGCCTTGTTGACCTCGCTGGTTTGGAATTGTTCCAGGGGCTGGGGGGCAGCACTGTCCCTTTGCTTTGCAGTGCCGTTGTACAGGACACACGGCTTGTGAGGCAACTGTGGGGTTAGAATCAGCATAGACCAAATGAGCCTTTCAGCAGCCCAAGGAGCAACTTCAGCCACCTGGCGCACTTTCAATGGCCCCCGGAACTGAACAAGGCACCAAAAAGGAAGTCGAATTCCCCAAAGGATCTCTAGATTTCATGTCCGTTTGGAAAGTAAGTCCCCCTGTCAATTACCAAGCTATATTGGGGCCCGTTGATTTTCGGTGAGGGTGCCTGTCAAAAGTCTCCCCCAAACTGAAGTTAGGTGGACTTGAACCGCCAGCTCGCCAAGTGCCAGAATGCCAAGGTTCGGTCAGCTTGGGTTCGGCTGGGGTTGTTTGGTTGGTTTGGTTGGGTTGGTTTGGTTGGTTTGGTTGGGTTTGTTTGGTTGGTTTGGTTGGTTTGGTTGGTTTGGTTGGTTTGGTTGGGTTGGTTGGGTTGGTTGGGTTGGTTGGGTTGGTTTGGTTGGGGGGTTGTGTGTTGGGTCGGGTTGGGTTGGGTGGTTGGGTGGTTGGGTGACGTGGGGCTGGGGGGGGGTTGCTTAGCCCCGGAAGACTTCAGGCACCGGTGCGACAACCCAGGGCCTCACAGGGACTCAACGCTGCAAATGGCATTTGCTGCTCATGTTGTCTATTTTGTTGCTTTGCTTGCTTGTCTTTGACGCATGGGTGTGCCTGACTTGTTTGAGGGTGCGGTTTTGTCCAGGAGGCTTGTGGTTGTTGCAGTTTTGTTTAGCAAGCCCCTGCTTGCCTGGATAGAATGAGCCAAGTTGTCGCTTCTTTATCGGTCTTTTTTCAAGCCTTCTTGGTTTCAACGACAATTCTCATTGATCTTTTGTTGGATGATTTTTGGAGTGTCTATGGGCACTTTTGTCCGACTCGCTTGCTGGATAGGGATAATGTTTGGTGTGTATCAAAGGGGAGGCCGGAGGCCAGGTGACCATACCCGCGAAGGGACGCTTCCTCCCCTTGGTTTCCGGATGTGAGGGTTGAGCTGCCGAGATTTTCGACTTTCTCGGAAAAGGGCAATCTCAGACGGCGACAGGAGCTGCAGCAAGTCATCCATGCCGCCGCCCACCCAGAATGAGCAAGTTGCTTTGCCCTCCTTGGCGTGCATGGCAATCAAGTTGAACCCCGGGAGCAACTTGCATGGTCCATCGGAGTCCTGATCAACCCGCGGGCTCGGGGTCAACAAACATGTTTTGTGGACTCGCGTGAATTAGCTTCTTGGTCATTAAAGAGGCAACTCTGGCAAAAAAAAGCCTTTGAACAGCGAGGACCCATTCGACCAGCTTGTTGCGACACGGCCAGCGCATGAAAGCGTTTAGCTTGCTTGGATGGGAGGCTTTGCAGAAGGCGCCTTTGCAACAATCCACATGTTTTGGCCGGCTGCTCATAGAAATCATGGCGAGGGATTCCTTCTCCCTAGCCGATTCCGATATGGCTTGTGGCTTTGGGGGGTCAAAGCCCAGATCCTTTTAAGTCCAAATGGGGAAGAGAATGGGCGGTACCCCAACACCTTCGCACACCAAACCACCAGTTGGAGGTGACCTGAGAAGTACACTGATTGGATAGGATAGGATAATTGGTCAGCATGTCCAAAT